ATAAACAAGTGGCACTAAATCAAACTAAAAGATTCTGCACAGCAAAAAAAAAAAAAGTGAAAAGAAAACCAATGAAATGGGAAAACTTATTTGCAAATCATATATCTGATAAGGGGTAATATCCAAAATGCACAAAGAACCCATACAACTCAAAAAAAAAAAAAAAAATCCAATAAAAAAAATGGGCAAAGGACCTAAAGAGGTATTTTTCCAAAGAACCTGTACAAATAGTCAACAGGTACATGGAAAGATGTTTAACCTCATTAGTCATTAGAAAAATGCAAATCAAATCCACAATGAATCATCACCTCATGCCTCTGAGAATGGCCATCAACAAAAATATAAGATGAATGCTGGTGAAGATATGAAGAAAAGGGAACCCTTCCGTACTGTTGTTGGGACTGTAAACTGATCCAATCACTATGGAAAACAGTATGGAGAATCCTTTAAAAAAAAAAAAAAAAAAAACCTACCATATGACCTTGGGAATATATCCAATGGAAGCAAAAGCACTAGAAAAAGATTTCTATACCCACATGTTCAGAGTAGCCTTATTTGAAATAGCCAAGACATGGAAACAACCAAAGTGTCTACTGACAGATGAATGGATAAAGAAGTTGTGGTATGTATGTGCAACGGAATATTCAGCCATTAAAAATATGAAGGAGCCCTGGCATGTTTGGCTCCATGGTTAGAGTGCTGGCCCGCAGACCACAGAGTCTTGGGTTCGATTCTCAGTCAAAGGCACGTACCTCGGTTGCAGGTTCAATCCCCAGCCCTGGTTGGGGTCATGCGGGAGACAACTGACGTGTCTCACAATGTTTCTCTCCCTTTCTGTCTCTTCCTCCTTTCCTCCCTTCCACTCTATCTGAGAAGCAATGGAGTCCTGACCGGTTTGGCTCAGTGGTAGAGCATTGGCCCTTGGACCAATGAGTCATGCAGGAGGCAACTATTTGATGCATCCCTCTCACATCGATGTTTCTCTCTCTCTCCCTTCCTCTCCCTCTCTCTACCTAAAAGATAAATAGAAAAATATCCTCTGGGGATGATTAAAAAACAAAGTATGATAAAAAGCAATAAAAAAATATTCTTGGAAAAGGATAAAAATTTTAAAAAAAAATAAATTTAAAAATCAATGGAAAAAGATCCTCAGGTGAGGATTTTTTTTTTTTAATGAAGGAAATCCTGCCTTTTTTAACAACATGGATGGACCTTGAAGGCATATGTTAAGTGAAATAAGTCAGAAGACAAATACTGAATGATTTTGTTTACATGTAGAATCTAAACAAAATAAAATACCCCTCCCCCAAATAAACTCATAGAAAAAGAGATCAGATTTGCAGTTATTGAAGGCAGAGGTGGGAACTGAAACATGGTAGTCAGTAAGTAGGTACAAACTTTGTTATAAGATAAATACTAAGGATGTAATGTACAACATGATGACTCTAGATAACACTGCTGTATGTTAAAAATGATAGGTTTCTTCTTCAATCTATGAGATGATGGATACAATCATTTCACAATACATGCAAAAAAAGTTACTTGGACTTTTTTTGTTGTTCAGATAGAGAGAGAGAGAGAGAGAGAGAGAGAGAGAGAGAGAGAGAAACATCGATGTGAAAGGGACACATCGAGTGGTTGCCACCCGCATGACCCAACCAGGGCTAGAGACAAACTGTAACTGAGGTACATGCCCCTAGCGGGAACCGAACCCCAGTCTCTCTGGACCGCAGGCCGACGCTCTAACCGCTGAGCCAAACTGGCCAGGGCTGGACTTTTTTTTTTATTAATGTTGGGATTCTTAGGAACCAAGATGCTGGTTTAAGTAACAACAAACCATTATGCTGTACACCTTAAATTTATAGAGATGTATGTCAATTATATCTCAATAAAACAGGAAAGAAAACCTTTCAAGCTGTAGGAATTCTAATAGAGGGAAGTCCAGAGAAGGCCCCTTGATCATGGAGCTAAAATGCTATCTATATACCCCTCAAAACTCTTATCTTATCCAGCACCTCTGTGGTTACAACAGAGAATGTGAGTCAACAGACTTGTCAAAAGCAAAGCAGTATAAGGGGAAAAAGAGAACATTACTGGGTATGTATGGGGTGGAGAGGGAAGGAGACTTGATTGAGTCCATAGTTATTTGGTGATTCCTAAAAGAAAATAGAAGACTCAGGTTTGGCTCAATAAGCACCCACCATGTGCTGGGCTGAGTGCCAGGTACTTTAGGTATATACTCACTGCATTCTTATATCCACCCTGTTTATCTCCATGTTATGGGTAAGAAGTCAACTGGCCTGATCAATGTTATGAATTTAATAACAGGCACAGACTTGACTGAACTCAGGCCCTGTGAGTTCTATCTAGACTTATCCTTATTTTTACAGTGGCCTAAAGGAAGATTTCCTTGTTTAGGAAAATTTGATTAAAAAAAAAGCACACAAACAAAATTTATAATCCCAAGACACAGGGTCACTTGGCCTTTTTAAAATTAATGTTGGGATTCTTACGAACCAAGATGCTGGTTTAAGTAAGGTTGGGCAACATATTTAGGGACTTCCATACAGCTATTACCTCTCCATTCACCTTCTATAGACAGGGGAACCAAGGCAGTTTTAAACGGCTTGCTCAAATTCACTGAGCTGTTATTTGGCCACACCAGCATCAATCCTGTTGCCTGATTCTAGTTCTCCTACTGCAAACACATTTTGGCCAATTGTTTCACAAGTGCACACTTTCTCCTGTTAGAATGTCAAGTTCATCTGAGCAGGCCCTGTGAATTTCTGGGCTTAGCACAATGCTTGGAATATTAGCTCAAGTTCTGCTGTTATCAACCTTTCACAATATGGACCCATAGCTCTGTGACAATCCCACTGAGTTTCTAACATTTTTGCTGGGCTTCAGGCTATAGAGGAATGAAAAAGGAATAAATCCGGTAATACATTTGGAAGCACAAGACAATCCAACATAAAATCCACCCTTGCCTGGCCTACCTGTAGACTCCCTAGTAGGATAATAATCAGATGACCACACATTCCTGGTTGTGGTATAAGAACTAAAATTAAGATTCAATATTATATGCTGGAAAATCAGAAGGGCTTCAAATGGCCTCACTCCAAGTTTCCCTCCCCACTCTGCTCTTGTGGATATTCCTTAAACAACCCTCCTGATAAAAGGACCAGGCATAGTTCCTGCTTATCTGCTCCCTGTCAACCTGCGACTTACTCAAACAAGCCAGTCACATCCTCCCACAGGAACCAGGGGGCACCCATCCTTTTGATATTACTAAGCACGCCTCTCACAGCCCCTAGTTATTCACTGGGTTCTTGAATGCAACCCCCTGGGGCATGTGGTGTCCTCCTCTCCTGAGCAGTGATTATATAATTAATAAACTGATGCGTATTATTTTTAAAAAAAGGAAAAAAAAAGGTGCCCTGGCCAGTTTGGCTCAGCGGTTACTGTCAGCCCGCAGACCAGAGAAGTCCCAAGTTTGGTTCCCACTAAGGGCACGTACCTCAGCTGGTTTGTCCCTGGCCCCAGTTGGAGTCATGTGGGTGGCAGTCGGTGGGTGTCTCTCTCATATCAATGTTTCTCTCTCTCTTCCCCCATCTCTATCTGAATGTAAATGCAAAAATGTCCTCAGGTGAGGATAAAAAAAAAGGGGGCTACAATTTGAGTCAATAGAGATAAGTTTTCCTTTTTTACATACACCTCCAACACTGTAGAAAGAAGTATTTCAGGAAAGAGAAACAAGGAGCCATTGCTCAAACATCTGTGCTGAGTTTCTCAACATCACACAATCTGACCAAGGAAATGGGCATAGGTAAGGGCTATAGGAAAAGTGGACCCTGGCATTAGGCTGTGCAAATGTCACCTAACAGTACTGTGTACTATGCAAATCCATTAGCTAAGTGAGAAAGAAAAATGTTATTTAGGAATTTGATTCCTAGCAAAATTAGTCTCTATGAACTGATCTAAAACCAAGTCATGATTAGGATTCATAGTGCAGAGGGGATAGCATCACGAACCCTCTCTGCACTGATCTGTGGGCTGTTTGGGGTCAAAGTATGTTGATCACCTCCACTCCTGATTCTAACCTAGTGTTGAGCCAGATAAGCTATTCAATGGAAATAGTTCAGCACACACACATGAAAGAACATTTACTCTGTGAAGTACTGAAAATAGCAGTGAGCTCAGCTCCCTGCAGGTTCAGTGAAGCTGAGGGGACTGCCTGAAAGATTAAGGCCTCCCACACAGTGGGGCATGAGGAAGAAGGCTGAATTCTCAGGTGTGGGCTAGAAAATTTCTGAGATTGGGTCACTTCCAACTGACAAGCTACCAGTGCTGTTTCCTCACACCACAAAGGCACTCCAAGTTATCCATGTACCTTTACACAGGTACTACATACACTTTGTTCCCAAGGGCAGGTTAGTCTCTGGGTACTTCTGTACTTACTGATCCTTCCTAGTAGTCATATGGCAAAAAAATCATTACAGGAGCTGTAGAAGTAAAGGGAGCATCTGTTAAGAGACTACCCAGCTGGAATTCATGCCAAATCCTTCACTCTAAGTCTTAGAATCTAAGACCTCAAAATAGAAGGAAGCTAAAATGGGAGAAAACCAGCCACCCTTCTTCAGTATCCACTGGGAGGGCAGTTATTATTGAGCGCAAAAAAAACTATAATGCTGGAAGCGGGAGGCCACAGGGTGCCAGAAATCCATGTAGAAAGCTGGAAGGAAGAAAGGATACTCAGTTCTTCCTGCTACAACTCAGGTTCAGTACTTCCACCTCAATTCTCATCCCTAGAAAAGACACATGGACACCAGCTACCTTAAAAACTAGGTTTGTATTTCTGGCTAGGTTCCAGAGTGGCAGAACTCAGGAGTTACATTATATCCAACCTGGTCCCCACCTCAGCTTGCCCCCCTCCCTCCCACAAAGATAACATTGTACAAAACTTTATTTACAGAAAAACCAGTAAAATTAAGGGTGTGTACAAAAGTAGACACAAAAGCCAGAAATATCAATGCAGGGAAGGCTTTGGGGACTAGTGGCCATTGTATTCCACACTAGACCTGGGGCAATATATTATATACCAGGCAGGTAGAAGCATAGTAAATCTCAGTGTCAATTTTAGGGAAAACCAGTCACTCTATGGGAAGTCTTATTACCCAACCACTTTTCTTCTGCCATATGGATTCAGAGACAGGTAGTTGGGAAAACAATACACAAAGTCTTTGACAAGCCCCATAGGAAAAAAAGGCTCAGAAGGCATAGCGGGTCCGGATGTCCTCAAGCTTCTTGGACACCTCAGGTGGGGTTCGGTCCAGTTCTTCAGAGACATTCTTTTGTTTGTTGGGCTCCATAGAGTTGAACTGCTCACAGAGGTCTCCATCAATCACATTCTAGAGCATAAAATAAATGGGAGCAAAAGAAAAAGGTTAGATGCCTAAGAAAATGGCACACACTAAAGCAGCAGCTGCAACGAGCTTTTTATTCTCCTACAAATACCTTAACCCCCATTTAGAGAGCCAGGAACACTATTCTAAGTTAATCCTTAGCAGCCAGATGAACAAAACTAGTTGAAACCTTTTCTCTGACTGAAGAGGACCCACTCTCCCATTACTATTTCCATCAATCTACTCCCCATTGATGATCCTTCATTCGAAAATGTTCTGACTTTTTTTGTACCAGACGTGACTTTTACTCTTAAATAACTGCTGTACAAAAAGTATATCACAATAAATTTAGGCATTAACTACAAAGCAATACTAATTCTTTTTAAAAAAAGAAAGAAACTGCAGAGGCTTTCTTTTCTCCATTGTATCTTTTGGACTCCTCTGTCAAAAATTATTTGCCCATATTTCTGGGCTCTCAATTCTGTTCCATTGGTCTGTATGTCTGTTTTCCTGACAATGCCATGCTGTTTAAATTATTGTCGCTTTGTAGTAGAATTTGAAATAAGGGAATGTGATACCTCCAGCTTCTTTTTTCTCAAGATTGCTTTGGCTAATTTTTTCCAGTTCTGGAAAATCTCATCAATGTTTTAAAATATGTGGGGTTTAGCCCTGGCTGGTTTTGCTCAGCGGTTAGAGCATCAACCCACAGACCAGAGTCCCGGGTTCGGTACCCGCTAAGGGCATGTGCCTTGGTTGCAGTTTGTCCCTGGCCCCAGTTGGGGTCGTGTGGGTGGCAGCCAGTCAATGTGTCTCTCTCACATTGATGTTTCTCTCTCTCTTCCTCCCACTCCATCTAAAGATAAATGCAAAAATTTCCTTGGGTGAGGATAAAAAAATAAAATATGTGGGGTTTTTCTGTTAATATTTTAAAAAATATGTTTTTATTGATTTTGAGAGAGAGGAAGGGAGAGGGAGAAATAGAAACATCAGTGAGGGAGAAACATTGATTGGTTCCCTCTTGCACAACCCCCACTGGGGATCAAGCCCACAACCTGGGCATGTGCCCTGACCAGGAATTGAACCAGTGGACCTCTTGGTCCATGGGTCAATGTTAAATCACTGAAACACACCAGCTGGGCTTAAAATGTTTTTACTGACTGTTTAGAGAGAGAAAGGGAGAGAGAGAGAAACATTGATGTGAAAGAGAAACATGGATTGGCTGCCTCCTGCATGCGCTCTACTGGGGATTGAGCCTGCAACCCGGGCACATGACCTGACCGGGAATCGAACTAGGACCTCTCAGTCCTTGGAACAATGCTCAATATACTAAGCCACACTGGACGGGCTGCAATATTGTTGGTAGCAATTTTAAAATAGAAGTTCCAGATTTACTATAATTATTCTTCATTCCAAATAGCCATCAAACCATCATTTTAATAGCCTGACTCTGACCAACGTTTCATGAGAAACTTCATCTGGAACCTGGAGCTTAGCTGTCTTTTTTCTAAAACCATCAGTTGATCAAAATTCCAGCTTCATTCCTCTGCAACTGTCTGGGGCAGGCAGAGCCTACAGGCCAGTCAGTACTGGCTGGGGGAGAATCTGCCAGCCCCAAGGAAAAAGCTGTATAAGGCGCTGGCAGCCAGTGAGGGTCATGCAGGCAAGAAGGGGATTGTTCTGATTTTTAAGGGGAGTGAAAAGACTAAAGAAAAGACTGGTTAAATAGGCTGAGGACTCCCCCTTTCAACCCATATTTCCAATAAAGACCTACCTTAACAGGGAAATAGTAAGAACGAAAGCTGAGATGGTCTCGCCCACAAAGAGGGGGATGCTCAGACCGTAGGTGCATTTCCACATGTTGGAAGAAGTCATGGTCCTGGCAGAAGAAACAAAGAATCTGTCACTAAAAGAAAAAAGTGATCTCAACTACTAGTCTATGGTTTCAGAAGCACAATGAGCAGAAGCCACTGATTTTTATCATGTAAACAGATGTTAAACATCTAAATCACTCCTCTGATGACCACAGGTTTCTGCTATGACAAAATAGCTAAAACCTGAAAGAAAATCTCCCTGTACTTGCAGAACACATAAGAATACCATATGTAAAGAGTGATTTATGAAGAGAGTCTTGATACCAGCTTCCTTGGCTGGAATGACATAAACCAAATTTAGCCAATCCTAGAGTTCATTCTAAAAGGCAGTAAGTGCCCCAGTCCTTATCCCATCCTTCCGAGTCTGTGCGATTTGGTTCTAGAGCTTTGACTTCTGACTAACCCTACAACCACATCAGCTATAAAAACAAACACTTTTGTCAGCTTATAAAATTTCTAGAACACCTCTACTTGCCGGTGGGGACAAATGGACTTGCCCCTTTAGATGGATTTAGCACAAAGAAACCACCTTGGGAAGGCAAATGCCAAAGCAGCGTGGGAGAGTTTACCTCATGAGATGTAAATGGAACAAGGATGCCAATTCCTCCTGACAAGGTGGTATAGACAAGAGATTCTGAGCCTCCAGGGATCAGCGTGGTCTTCTGTAATGACAGCACTGTCTCCCCCACGTGATAGTTCATGATCACCTCTGCCTGCAAGTCAAAAACAGACCAGTAACTGTATGGGCCCCTCAGGAGCCTGATCTAGATTCCCAAGGGCAAGCAGTACCTCCAAATGGCAGATTTCACCACCCCTCAAAACCCCCAAATTACTAAAATTTACTTCAAAAAACCTCCTGCACAACCCCAACGCTCTAACCGCTGAGCCAAACTGGCCAGGGCTTCAAAATGGTCTAAACATGTACAAGCTTAATGCCCTCACAAACATGCAGACATTAAGTCATTTCTGATAAAATAGCAAACACTAGGCTTACTCTCTAAAAGGAAATCTACTTTTATTTTATTTTTTTTATCCTCACCCAAGGACATTTTTGCATTTATCTTCAGACAGAGTAGGAAGGAGGGAGGGAGGAAGAGAGAGAGGGAGAAACATCCACGTGAGAGAGACACATCGAGTGGTTGCCACCCACACGACCCCAACAGGGGCCGGGGACAAACTGCAACAGAGGTACATGCCCTAAGCAGGAACCGAACCCAGGTCTCTCTGGACCGCAGGCCGATGCTCTAACCGCTGAGCCAAACCGGCCATGGCAAAGGAAATCTCCTTTTAGAAGTCCCTAGATGTTCTACTATATAAGTAAAGCCCAGGACACACTTCAGAGAAGAGCTGGTTAGCATCGAGAGTAAACCTGTGCAACCATCTTTTTCAAGGAACTCACTATGCTCCAAAGAGATTTTTATGCTAAATGTCTCAGAAAAATTCCTATTCTACAAAGTCATAAAAATGGGATAGTGAGTGACTTGATCACCTTAAGTCAAAACCATGATTATCCATCCATCACAGGCTATGTACTACCAACTTAGGGACTTCCATGCATGCATGAGAGCACACTCAGTGCACTCACGTGCACTCTAGATAATTCACTAAAACATGTCTCCCAAGTGAGGGTCAAGGGAAATGTACTACACAGGCTGGTGCCTCTACTTTGGGTCCCTTCTTGAAGCTTACCTTCTGAGAGGCCCCATTGAGCAAGCCCCGATCCCACAGGGCTTTGTTTCCTGTGGGATCCTCGTCCACTTCGTCATTGGTGTTAGGTGGGAGCCTCACCTACAAGGAAGTAACAAATCACAGGGCTGAAACCTGCAACTACTCACCTGCAGCACCAAACAACATGTTTGCCCCAGGTCCTTGCAAGTAAGCCTAGGGGCACCACCTTTGGCAGAGGCCTGAGCCCAAGTCTCCTCTACCTGTTCTGGTGTCCAAGGAATGAGAAACTCAAGACATTCAACCCAAGAGCAAGGGTCTAACACAGCAACAGTAAAAACAAAGACCACAGAATATAAACAAGAGAAGTCAGATAAGGCTTTAAAAAATAAATTTTGGCAAAATATGAAAATAAATATTAGACATTAGCTCAAACTAAACCTATTATTATCAAAATACATCCCATGGGGAAGAGGGAAGTGAAAAGGGGGCAAAAATCTAAAAAATTGATTAAGGCTTAGAGAACACAAAGTTTTCCTTTTAAAGTGAGCTTTACTAGCGTTGAACTTTATACCCATTTTTACTTTCCCTATTAGAAATCATAGTCCTGGGTCCTTGGCTTTATCACAAACTGAGCCAGCTTTAGTACACATCACGATATATAACCCAACTATCAACTCACCACACAAATGTTGCCAAACTTGTCTGCGCCTGCCACAGTGTCATAATCGAGAAGGCTAGCTGTGGTGACCCACCGGGGGTAGGTGTCATCAGCAAAGATGATGAGCTGGTTCTCATTACGCTTGTAGCGAACCCAGATGAAACTTTCTTGGACATCAGACACAATTACTCTATGCCCAATTGTCTGAATCCCAGAGATGTAATTGGCGATATGCTGGAAAAAACAAGGACAACAATGGGTGTAACCTTGAAGTTCAGAACCCACAGAAACTATAGTTTTCCCTGAATGCAACATATATAGGGTCTGTAGAATGGCATACATTGAAGAATAGTAGTCATCAATGAACTCCTAGAAGATGGGAAAAAGAACTAAATGGTTTTAATATATATCACAACAAAGTGAAATCACATGAATTTTTCCGAGTGCATACAAAAGTTATGTTTACACTATATTACAGTCTATTAAGTGTGCAACAGCATTACGTCTAAAAAATGTATACACCTTAGTTTAAAAATACTTTATTACTAAAACCTGCTAACCATCTAAGCCTTTAGTAAGTCATAATCTTTTTGCTGGTGGAGAATCTTGCCTAAATGTTGATGGCTGCTGAATGATCAGGGTGGTTGCTGAAGGCTGGGATGACTGGCATTTCTTAAAACAAGACAACGAAATTTGCCTCATCACAAATAATTTCTCTGTAGCATGTGATGCTGTTTGACAGCAGTTTGACCAAAGAACTTGTTTCAAAATTGAAGCCAATCCTCTCAAACCCTGCCACTAAGTTTATGCAATATTCTAAATCCTTTGTTGTTATTTCAACATTTTTCACAGTGTCTTCATCAGGAATAGAGTCCATCTCCATAAAAAACTCTCTCTGAGCATTCATAAAGAAGCAACTCCCCATCCATTCAAATTTTACCCTAAGATTGCAGCAATTCAGTCACATCTTCAGGCTCCACTGCTAAACCCTTCAATGACATCCATGAGGGCTGGAATCAACTTCTCCTAAACTTCTTTTAGTGTTGATATTTTGACCTCTTCCCATGAATAACAAATGTTGTTAACGGCATCTAGAATGGTGAATCCTTTCTAGAAGGTTTTTTTTAAAAAAATCCTCACCCAAGGACATTTTTGCATTTATCTTCAGATAGAATGGGAGGGAGTGAGGGAGGAAGAGAGAGAGAGAAACACTGACATGAGAGAGACACATCGAGTGGTTGCCACCCGTTCGACCCCAACTGGGGCAGGGACAAACTGCAATAGAGGTACGTGCCCTTAGCGGGAACCAAACCTGGAACTCTCTGGTCCATGGCCGAGCCAAACTGGCCAGGGCTCTAGAAAGTTTTAAGTTTACTTTGCCCAGATCCATCAGAGGAATCACTATCTATTCAAACTACAGCCTCACAAAATATATTTCTTGCCCAGCCAGTGTGACTCAGTGGATTGAGCAGTCCCCATTCTGTTCCTAGTCAGCGCATGCCCGGGTTGCAGGCTCCATCCCCAGTAAGGGGCAACCAGGAAGCAACCAGGCAATGTATTTCTCTCACATCGATGTTTCTATCTCTCACCCTTCCTCTCTCTAAAAAAATTAACAAAAATATTGAAAAAAATTTTTTTTATTTTAAAAACTTAAAAAAAAAACTTTTTTAAAAAAAACTTGAAAGTAGAATTTGAATTTACTCCCTGATCCGCAGAATGGGTTTATGTTAGCAGGCATGTAAACAACATGAATCTCATACACCTTGAATAGGGCTCTTGGGTCAATGAGAAGTGATATTTTGAAAGAGATCTTTTTTTCTTAGCAGTAGGTCTCAAGATGGACTTAAAATATTCAGTAAACCATGTTATAAACAGAAGTGCTGCTGTTCAGGCTATTTTGTTCCATTCATAGAGGCAGAATAGATTTACCATAATATTAAAGGCCACAGGGTAAGTGAGCACTGGCTTCAATCTAGTCACCAGCTGTATTAGCCCCTAACGAGAGCCAGCCTGTCCCTTGAAGATAGGCACTGACTTCTCTCTACCTATGAAAGTCCTAGCTGGCACCTTCTTCCAGGATAAGGCTGTTTCACCTACACTGAAAATCTGCTGTTTAGTGTTGCCATTTTCACTAATTATCTTAGCTACACCTCCTTGAAACTTGCTGTAGCTTCTCCATCAGTACTTTTGTGTCATAGAGATGGCTTCTTTCCTTAAACCTCATGAACCAACCTCTGCTAGCTTTAAATATTTCTTTTGCAGCTTTCTCACCTCTCTCAACCTTCAAAGAATTGAAGAGTTAGGGCCTTGCTCTAGATTAGGCTTTGGCTTAAGCAAAGATTATGGCTGTTTTGATCTATCCAGACCACTAAACTTTGTCCATATCAGCAATAAGGCTGTTTTGCTTTCTTATCATTTGTTCACTGAAGCAGCACTTTTAATTTCCTTCAAGAACTTTTACTTTGCATTTGCAATCTAGCTGTCTGGTACAGGAGGCCTAGCTTTCAGCCCATCTCTGCTTTCAACATGCCTTCCTCCCTAAACTTAATCATTTCTAGCTTTTAATTTAAAGTGAGAGACGTGTGCTTCTTCCCATAACTTGAACCCTTAAGTAGGGTTATTAACTGGCCTAATTTCAATGCTGTTGTCTCAGGAAATAGGGGGGACCAATTAAGAGGGACAGAGATACAGAGGAACAGTCAGTCAGGAGAGCAGTCAGAACATACAACATTTATAAATTAAGTTAGCTGGCTTTTATGGGCGTGGTTCATGAAGCCCCAAAACAATTACAATAGCAACACCAGAGATCACTTATCACAGATTACCATAACAAATAATAATGAAAATGTTTGAAATATTGCAAGAATCACCAAAATGTGACACAGAGATATAAAATGAGCAAATGCTATTGGAAAAATGCCATGGATAGACTCGCTCAACACAGGGTTGCTACAAACCTTCAATTTTAAGACACACAATATATGCAAAGAGCAATAAAACAAGGTATGCCTATAGAGAAAATATATTCCTAATTCTCAGTTAAATTCCTCATAGAAGCAAGCAGGAGAGAAATCTGGTTCTTGGTTTAAAGAACTCAAGAAACCCATCTTCTCATGCCTGTCTCAAGTCTCAAGGGCCTAATTCTGAACCTGGAATTGGATGATCACAACAAGGTTCTAACAAATTAGACCTGATTTTAACAGTAACTGCCTACAACCCTGCCAATGCTTCTCCCTCACTAGCTGGACTCTCTACCATCATATTTACCTTGTTCTCACATTTTCGGAGTAATTTCTTCTTTCCCAGGTCATAGACTCGCAGAAGCTTCCCCACACCAATCAACACTCTACCCTGGAATGGGGCAATGGCAGCAGGGACCTCTTCTACTGGAGTCTGTGAGAGGAAAAGCAGGTAATGCAAATATTAGAACATGTGCGAACTTCAACCCAAACTGCCTTCTACAGGAATCTGTCAGAAAGACAAGACAGCAAGTGATTATCTTTTGCTCATTCGGGGAAATAAACCACACATACAACACTCTCTATAAAGCAGGATGCTTGGGTAAACAGGTTCTACCCACATGCTGCATTTCACCCAGAAAGTGAACCAATGCCACCAGTCAAAAGAAGTCTTGGTGCCCGACGAACACTGACTCAGAGCCATGCTAATATAATTGGCGCTACTAACTAAAAGTGAAGCCTCAATATCTGAGAAAACTAGTTTGTGGAGGAATGGGAAAGGAGAACTAATGACATCTTAATTGTAAGGAAGACACGATGAGTTCAGCACAAAGAAGAGTCTACAAAATAATTATTTCCTAAAAAACATCCCCCTTGTGGGAGGGTTGGAGAAGCCACATGTATGTACTGTCAGTGTAGAGGAGACAATTTCTTTAGTTTAAAAATTATGGTAAAATAGCCCTGACCAGTTTGGCTGAGCAGTTAGAGTGTCGGCCTGCGGTCCAGAGAGACCTAGGTTTGGTTCCCACTAAGGGCACGTACTTTGGTTGCAGTTGTCCCCAGCCCTGGTTGGGTTGTGCAGGTGGCAACTACTCGATGTGTCCCTTTCACATAGATGGTTTTTCTCTCTCTCTCCCTCCCACTCTATCTGAACAAAAAACGAAAAAATGTCCTCGGATGAGGATTAAAAAAAAAAAAAAGCTATGGTAAAATATACATAATATAGAATTTACCATTTTAATCTTTAAGGATACAATGCAGTGGCATTAAGTACATTCACATTGTTGTGCAACCATTGCCATTATCCAACCCTAGAACATTTTTTTTTTACTCCTCACCTGAGGATATTTTTCTATGTATCATTAGATAAGAGTAGGAGGGAGGGATGGAGGGAGGGAGGGAGGGAGGGAGGGAAGGAGGGAGGGAGGGAGGGAGGGAGGGAGAGAGACAAACACAGAGAGAGAGAGAGAGAGAGACAGAGAACCATCGATGTGATAGAGCCACATCAATCAGTTGCCTCCCACACAACCCAAACAGGCCTGGGGATCAAACTGCAACTGAGGTACATGCCCTTGGCCAGAATTGAACCCATGACTCATTGGTCCGCAGGCCAATGCTTTAACCACTGAGCAAAACCAACCAGGGCCCAGAACATTTGTAATCCTTCCAAAGGGAAACTATAAGAATTAAACAGTAACTCCCCAGAAAATACTAAACTCTTTAAACTGCTGAATTTTAATCACAAATTGCTGACTGCTTAGTAAGACTCATAAACAAGGAGCCAATTCAATATGCATCTATTTCCCCATTGTAAATGGTAAGCACACAAGCAGCAAAGCTTCACCAGAACATGAAGGCCTTTCCATGTAGTATTTTTCCATGTGCTAACAAGAGATAGATCAGAGTCAGTGAGTTGGCTCCCCAAATGGTCATCAAAAGACTTGACCCACAAGTTAAGCAAATGTGGGAGAGTCTAGTAGGACCTAAGATCTAGTAGAATCACTGGCTGGTTCCTACCTTGTGCAAAAACTCCAGTTTTTCCCCACTGTTCACAAGCTTGTAGGTATAGACAAAGCCCCCTGCTACAGATCGGGGGTTCAGTATCAGGTCTTTGGCCACGCCCACCAGCACATACCAGTCGTCACCAGTGTTGGAGAATCTGCACACAGCCACACTGCATAGAAAAAGCAGAAGGAGTTAGGCATTAGTCACAGCCCAGAGAATTCCAGTTCCAGCCTCCAAAACCCTTGATGTTCTGGAGTCCTTACCTAAAAGCAGCCTCATTCTGTTCCAGCTGGACAAGGTCCAGTGTGTTACCCTGAATAGGATTCATCACTCGGATCACAGAGGCCCACTGTCCATTTCCAGCCTTGGGAGCTCCAAAAATGGACTCAGGGAGGTTTTCATTGAGGAATGCTGCTGCCATCTCTGCAGCTAGCTCCCGCTCATCCTCCCCTGCTGCTTCCACCATTTCCTTAAAAAAAGAAAGAGTTGGTGTGTTTAAAAGGTGGGTGCTGGGTTAAAGTGGGTAAGTAGCAAGAACACCTCCAGGGGCAGTCTATAATCTATAAAGCAGCAAAGTCTGTTGACCAAATCAGAATTTCCGAAAATGAAAAGATTAATGGGAGAGGTACACAGATATGGGGAAGAGAGAGGGAAGATCACTAAAGGGGAAACCGGCACTTTCTTTTTTTTTTTTAATCCTCACCCGAGAACATTTTTCCATTTTTTGTTCAGACAGAGTGGGAGGGAGGGAGAAAGAGAGAAACATCGATGTGAAAGGGACACATTGAGTGGTTGCCACCCACACGACCCAACCAGGGCCAGGGACAAATTGCAACCGAGGTTCGTGCCCTTAGCGGGAACCGAACCCAGGTCTCTCTGGACTGCAGGCCGATGCTCTAACCGCTGAGCCAAATCAGCCAGGGCCAGTACGTACTTTCTTTTAATGCCAAAAAGAACACCAGCTGTGGCAAATAGTTGACTAGTGGTCTGAGAAACATAAAAATGAAAACACCATTTTTCTACCTAATCCATCTAACTTCCCTTACTAATTCTACTTGTCTCCTCTCTTCCAAACCAGATATAGTTTTACATGGTTGGGGATACTTGTCCTTTGTTAGGAAAATGATTTCTGGAAGCAGCTAGTGTTGTGGAGAATATGAAAGCTATCTCCTTTGGGCCTAAATCCAGGAAACTTGTAACACTGTTTTGGAAGCACAATGACTTAAGAACTCTGTTCCAGAGAGAGGGCTAAATACTGAATAAACCCAGGTCAGTGTATTAGTCCTGAGTCACAAGAAGGCCTCTAAAACCAGACTTTGGCAGAGGGTTCTACCTGGAGGACCTAAAAAGAGCCTGGATTTTTATCCTCACCCGAGGACATTTTTTCCATTTTTTGTTCAGACAGAGTGGGAGGGAGAGAGGAAGAGGAAAGAGAGAAACATCAATGTGAAAGGGACACATTGAGTGGTTGCCTCCCGCACAACCCCAACCAGGGCAAGGGGAAACTGCAACAGGGGTACGTGCCCTTAGCGGGAACCAAACCCGGGTCTCTCTGGACCACAAGGAGCCTGGATTTTTATTTTATTTTATTTATCCTCACCCGAGGACATTTTTCCATTTTTTGTTCAGGTAGAGTGGGAGGGAGAGAGAGGAACAGAAAGAGAGAGAGAAACATTGACGTGAAAGGGACACATCGAGTGACTGCCACCCGCATGACCGACCAGGGCTGGGGACCGAACCTGGGTCTCTCTGGACCGCAGGACCAAACCGGCCAGGGCAGGAGGCTGGATTTTTAATATAACAAAGAATAATCAACAATTACAGGGGTTTAAACATTTCAACACAATGTCACACAAACACCTTTAAACTGAACCCTGAAGGTCAGTCTCATTACCTCTGCCATCTGCTGCTTCCTCTGAGCTTTTGTAGCCTCAGTGTAGGCATTGTGATCAGTCTCAATGATGATAAGGTTGTTACTTTCAGGGTGAATGACAAATTTCCTGGGTGTGTACTGCAGTGGAAAGGCTACTTGATTAAAGACAGCACCTAGCTTCTCCAATGCCAAAATCCTATGTCAAAAGGAAAGGGAATTAATAGGTCACTCACTCAGAACCTAGAAACTGGTGTTGAAATGGTCCATGAGCAGTCACAGCAAACATATCAATCCCTAAAGCTCTGTTGGCATTACACAATATGAAACAACAGACTTGTAATCCAGAAGACTCTGCACAGGAGACAACAAAGGGAAGGGCTCTCCACTTTGGCAATAGTCCATCACTGTTTCATGACAATTCTAGTTTTCACCAGTGAAACTCATATTAGAACCCCCAAAGGCATTTTTTTCACTCCAGTGATCAAGTGATAGTGAAAAGTTAGAATTTCTCCTTTATTACTGACAAAAACCCTGAAATAAAGAGCACCAATTCCAAAATTATTGTGTTTTATTTTTTTTTTATTTTATTTTTTTTATTTTTTATCCTCACCCGAGGACATTTTTTTTTGTTCAGGTAGAGTGGGAGGGAGAGAGAGGAAGAGAGAGAGAGAGAGAAAAACATCGATGTGAAAGGGACACATCGAGTGGCTGCCACCCGCACAACCGACCAGGGCCGGGGACAAACTGCAACCAAGGTACATGCCCTTAGCGGGAACCGAACCCGGGTCTCTCAGGACCGCAGGCTGATGCTCTAACCGCTGAGCCAAACCGGCCAGGGCCCAAAATTATTGTGAAGCACTGCAATTATCTGAAGATATGTGGTATTTTTACTAATGGTGTTTCATAAAATAAAGTAAATGGCCTGAATGAAAATCACCTAAGCTTTATGAAACCCATGAATCTATTGTGAACAGCCAATAGCTATAACAAGGACATCAACAACATGAGTGGCATTAATAAAGGTTAAATAAAAAAAACAACACCCTCCCCAAAAGTTGAGGGTCAAACTGAACAGGTTATTTTCCACCTTGCAATATAAATAGTGCTCACTCCAAAATTATCAGTGTAAACTATAGTCTGTCAACTTGTAAAAGGCCTAAATAATTTATATTGAGGTAACTATTTAAGATGTAGCAATGCAAATGACAAGACAGAGTGAGAAAAGTTTAGGAGTGATACTGCTCAAAAACTAATCCAATGGCATTGCCCTGGAAAACAATAACCTTAACTCTCACAAAGACTGAAATGTACCATGAACTTTTAAAACACCCCCTAAAAGTCTAATCTGAAGGTAAACCCCAGACACCGAAACTTGGCTACTAGGTACTTAAATCCTGAGCCAAATAAAGGTTTCAATTGCAACATACTAGTTGGCTCTTTGCCATCTCTTCATAACTTTTTCCAATACTCTGACAGAACCACAGTCTAAGCCCTTCTGCCTTCCCACAGGGCTTCAACTGTGGGACTCTCTCACCTCAGGGTATTGGTGGAGATGGCCACAATGCCCTCAGGACACTGTTCAGAGGCAAAGCCAGATGCAAATTCCAGGGTCTCATAAGACAGGGGTGTGAGATGGAAGCGAGATTGGTAAGAATAGCTCAACCATGAGCGGCTTGACATGGCCAACACCTGAGGAAAGAGAAAAACACCTCCAATAAGTTTAGGAAGAACTCAAACATAGTATGCTAAGCAAACACCCTATCTCCAAATTTCAGACTGCAGACTATCCCAATGAAGTTTAAAAACCTGAAAGGTTACCTTAAGAAAATGAGGCTCAGAGAAAAGGCAGTATGGCTTACTATTTGCTGAAAGTGTATGATCACTCAATCTCTCTGGGCCTGTTTTCATGTGTGCAAAACAGGAATACTAACACAAGGCTGGATAGTTGCAAGGATTAAATGCACAAACAAGTAAGAACTAGCACAGTACCTAGAAACACTGATATTCTCAGCTATAAAGGACCTCTTTCACATTACATAGTAAGCCATGACACTGATACAGGTTGCTCATGAGTAAGTGCTACCCTATATAGGAGATATTCATCCAGCTCTTAGTCTGCTCCATTTGCCCAGCTTGAGGGCTGAAGGGATCAATATCCCAACTTACCTATAATCAAATCATGAAACAGTGCCATGAAACCCCAGTTAAGAAACTCTAGATTAAGGGACCCTAGTCTTCCAACATAAATGAAGTAAAACAATCAATATAGAGCTAACTATATACTGGTGAATTAATGAAAGTAAACCTTACACCAAAAGGACTTATCTTACTGATGCCACTAACATCCAAACATGCTGTCTGCCCTCATTCATTACTTACTGCCTCCTGGCCTTGCATCCGAACACGAAAGAGTTTCACAGGACGGGACCCCAGGTACCTAGTGCGGGTGTCAGATAGATCCCCAGTGACAGGGTCCAGAACAGTTCGCAACAGCACACCATTCTAACAAAAAGGAGAGGAGTGGGTTAAGCACTACCCATAATGCAAGTTCCCTTGGCCACTTTATATAAGTACAAAGCAAATAGACGGAAATTACTTGGTTTAAAGAATATCCTGCACTGGTAAGTATTGCTCAGTGAGTGGTTAGAGCATTGGCCCTAAGTGGTTAGAGCATCGCACCTGTGCACCAAAGGGTGTGGGTTTGATTCCCAGTCAAGGGCATGTTCCTGGGTTGCAGGTTCAATCCCTGGCCCTGGTTGGGGCATGGGCAACCAACTGATGCGTCTCTCTCACATGAATGTTTCTCTCTCTCCCTCTCTTCCACACTTTCTAAAAACCAATGGAAAAAATATCCTAATACTCAGCCAACCATTCTTTCATTCTCTCACTAAATCACACACTCAAATAGTTTGAGTATAAAGAACTCTTATTTTTCACTGTATATCCTTAAATTTTTTTTTACCATGCATGTTAAATTCTTTATAATTTTAAAATATATGCACAGTTAAAAATAATCAGGCCTGGTGTGGTCTCTATATACTATTTCCCCTAAAAATAGTAAGACTCCTAAGAAAACGGCTAGTTCAATTCTGGGACAAGAATATTCCAGATGTGTGGGGGGCACTTTGTTGTACCAAAAGGGAAAGAAGCCCCCAAAAGACAATGGGGTCATGTTAAAGGACAAAAGAGTCAACTTCAAATGGGAACTCCCATTCATCTAAAATGACGTTATTTAGCATCCAAGAAAGAAAAAAGACTGAAGCACAAATATATAAAAATCTGCAAATTCATGTTATTTAAAAAAACTCATTTTTATTGGTCCTCAATATTGCTATGGCACCAACTCCTTCTCTGAAAATGAGTGAGCAAAGGGGAAAAAAATGAAATATTTATCCTTTCCTTATATGAATTTTATTTCAGGGTGAGCAAAGGTATAAAGCAAACTGTCTTTAGAGGAAAGTTCTAGCTAATTAAATGAAGTATGAAATAGAAAAACCATCATTTCCCAACTCCCAATGACATAATGAACATAGGCAATGTGTAACAATGGCCGTTGATGGGGAGCTTCTAAACAGTTAATTTAAACTAGATACAAACATATAACATCACTTAAAGTGGGAACACCAAATGGTATATGCCTCTTGATGTAATATAATAGGAGTAAATAGCACCACCTATGAAATATCCTGCCTTTCCCCATAAAACTGAAACCCAAATCTAATCAACCTCTAGATCTATGCTATCCAATACTATAGTCAGCAAGCCACATGAGACTAGTCCGATTTGAGGAGTGCTGTTAAGTGTAAAGTGCAAAATTCTAGATTTCAAAGACCTACTCCAAAATAATAAAAAAGGATATAAAATCTTATTAATTTTGATATTAGTTACAAATGGAAATATTTTTGATACACTGGATTAAACAAAACATTAAAATTAACCTCATCTGTTCCTTTTTTGTAGTCATTGGAAAATTTACATTTCACATGGGGTTTACATTATGTTTTTAATAAACAGCATGGTCTATCCTTGTTGGTCTAAATTAGTCTCATAAAAACAGAGATCAAACAGATGCAAAATTGGCACAGCGTTATGTAGATACTGAGCAGAATCGAGTATTAAAGACATTTTTGGAGGGAAAAAATTAGAACATGGACAAAGCAGCAGATATCATGAAATTACCGTTAGATTTGCTTTAACATACTCTCCCCAAAAATAGAGGGGGAATTGATAAAAGGAGAGCCAAAGATAACTGTTAAAATTAGTAATGGGTACATGAAGGGTCATTACATCAGTCTCTCTAACTTCATGTATATTTGACAAATTTCTAAACTAGGAAGTAAAACTAAAAAGCAGAAAGTACCTTGGCTAGATTATTTACATATCTGAGTACACAATCTTTAAGGAAAATGAAAAGTATATGCTCAAAAACCCTGACACTGCTCTGGCCGGCATGGCTCAGTTGGTTGAAGCATAAGGTCTTGGGTTCCATCCCCAGTCAAGACACACAGCCACATTGTGGATTCGATATGCAGTTGGGGCACATATGGGAGGGAGGCAAATGATTAATATTTCTCTCTTTCTTTGGAATCAGTGGAAACACATCCTCAGGTAAGAATTAAACAACAACAACAAAAAACACCTGAGTCTATCTGATCCTTAGGTTCCTGCTTTTCAAGCTCTGAAGAGCTCAGCTGCTTTGATAGAAAGGAACATCTAGGGGTCCTTTATTGCTAATGGAGCCCATTATGAACTGTGAGGTATTCGTTTTAAAAACCGCACATCATGAGACCTACACGTGATTCTTGAGGATTCCACCTGGTTCTGATCCAGAGTGGTGAAGGCAAAGCATTTTTATCAAAGACTCTTTATAAAAATACTTTTTTCAAATCCTTGTTTGTTCTAATTAGAGTTGAAAAAAGTGGAACACAGAGCAGCAGCACTGAACAGTAACTGAAACCATGGGCACAGAAAATGCCCATAGTCAACAAAAGAGTGCATGAAACCTAAAAAAGCCTGACACCAATAATTCACCCCCCTGGATTTCTTACCTGTAGCCCAATATTCAGGTATAGGAAGCCAATAGAGCCTCTCTCACCCAGCTCATCCTGCTTCTCAGTCCCACCCATTTCCACAATACACAAGGATTCAGGCTGGGCTGGGAGAGCCTGCATGCTAAGAGGTTGCAAACAGTCCTAAGGGAAAAGAGAAAAGAATAAAATATGGGAAGACAAATTTTGGGAAATACCTAACCAGAGAAATCTAATTCTAGGAGTAAAGAACAACTTTCTTGTGCAGAGGAAAAATCAGGAGTGAGTTCTAAATGGGTAGCGGGTTACTAGCTAAACTGAATCTTAAAATAAGCTCTGCAAAGGATCATGCTTTCTTCTTTTTGTCAACATGGATAATGGGGTAAAAGTACATAAGCAAAGGGCACTTCCCCTAAAAGTTATCTAAGGTCCTGGAGCCAGTCCAAGTCCTTTCCCGTATAACAGTTTTGGGATTTTTTTCAACTATAAAAGAGAATCAAGGTTTAAGCCAAAGAAGCATTTAGTAGTCTCAGATCAGCATCTTCTAAGCACTGTAGAAGACTCCTAAAATGTGCTGCTATATTAGATATCCAGAAGCAACAGAATTCAGGGTATATCCTAGCTGATTTCAGAGACAGACTCAGGAGTGAGCCAGGTACTCAGGTTCCAATAGGAAGATCCCTGAAGAGGAGGGTGACACTCACAGAGGGGTCCAGGGAAATGATTCTGACAGTGTTGTCTACCAGTCCCACAGCCAGGAAGCGAGACCGCTGCTCTCCAGGAGGTACATTGGCCAGACTCATGCACACCACATCTGCTGACATCTCCTTCCTCTCTGTGTACTCGTTCAGCTGTCCTGACTACAGGAGTGAAGATAAGAGAGGTCACAAACCAATCCAACTTCACCCCAAACCGTGGACCCAGGGACAGAAGGGGGCCTTTTAAGTTCCTTTTTGTTTCCTCTCACCCCTCTTACTATAATCAATGACCAAGAATTTCTCTACTTGAGATCCCAAGACTGAACTCTATAGGATTACCAGGAAGCAAAATTACTTATAAGAGAATCAAGAGACAATGGGCCATAAAATAGCTAAGCCAACCTAGCTCTCAGGAAATGAATATATATAAAATTGTTTATTTGTTCATGAGAATACTTTGAATAAAACAGAATTCAACTCTGGAAGTTAAAGACAAAGAAATCTCAACCATAGGTACAGTTGGATTCAGATTTTAGAATTTAAACCTGTGGCAAATACTTGGTGGAAAAGCAGTATGGGAAGGGCAGGAGAAGCAGGTGCTTCATTGCTAAGATGGGATTTCATAACTCCAATTAGAGTTAAGACATGAACTTACCCACTTCCTACTCCTCCTTTATAAAGGGCCAGATTGGCCTGTAGACACTTTCCCTTCTCAATTCTCTTTCTTGTGAATATACTTGAGATACCTGGACTACACTCCCATCTTTACCTCTGGACCCTACACAAGTTCCACAGTAAATGATAAAATAACATACGGGATCCATTTCAAAATAGACCAGCTCTCCTCCTGTCAGGGCAATCACCACTTGTCGCTGGTTCACCGCACATTTCACAATTGTTTTCTTTCCAGGGGTCTTCCACTCATTGACTCTCTTGTCTGCTCGTATGTGCCGAATGCCATCAGGATACACCTGGAGTAACACAAGAAAATCTCACTTGAGCAATTTGACACATTGCTCAGCATTGACCCTCACACCTATCACATCTGTCGTTCCTGTCAGATCTGGAGCCACTGCATTTGAAGCATCAGATGGTTCAATAAGAAAAGAGTAAACAGGCCCCAAGCAAGGTCAACTTAAAAAAGTTTGTATCTTGCAATGTAATGCCTACTTCAAAGAAGTTCAAAACTCATTAAGGTAAACATGGCAGCCTACATAGTGAGGGCAAAGAACCAAGTAAGGTGAGTAGGTAAGCAGCTCTCTGAGAAGCCTCACCTGCACCAAGGCATCATCTCCTAACAAGGAGCAGGACAAGGTCGGGGTGGTGCCCAGGAACCCAGAGTCAGTCACTTCTTCCACAGTCTCTCCGATAGACAACACAAGTGTGGCATTCACAAAAGACACAATGATGTAGGCATCAAATTCATCTGAAAACGGAAAAAGAAAGGAGTTGATTAGCTACTAGGTTATTAGTGACAAAGTCAAATGAGACACACTAAGTTTTCTCTTCAGAAACCTTCCAAGGCACTTCTTATGTGTAGTCACCACACAGTCATGTGACAAACAGTATAGGATGATTCAAAAGATAACTGAGGGTCATATGAGCCTACAGATATACTTTGCTTCCTTAAATGCTGAAATACATTTTTGAGTAGATACACCCACCTCTAATACCTCTGAAAACTAGTATTTACTAGAGACACTGGCGAGAGAAATGCAGAGGACAAAAGCAATGGAATCAGTGGCATGAAGAGATTTTGAAAACACATATATCTATTAAAGCTAAACTTATTTGTGCCAGATGCCAATCTCAAGCTCTTTTTTTTTTTATCCTCACCCAAGGACATTTTTTCATTTTTTGTTCAGATAGAGTGGAGGGAGAGAGAGGAAGAGAGAGAGAAACATCGACACGAAAGGAACACATGGAGTGGCTGCCACCTGCACGACCCAACCAGGGCCGGGGACAAACTGCAACTGAAGTACATGCCCTTGGTGGGAACCAAACCCAGGTCTCTCTGGACCACAGGCTGACACTCTAACCGCTGAGCCAAACCAGCCAGGGCATCAAGCTCTTCTTTAAAAAGATAATCCATATAACCAGGAAAGTTGCCCACCTTCTTCCAAGTGAAGCTTATGTGGGAATACAAGACCTAATGAATGAAACAGATTACTTAAACCCCTATGAGATTGTCATTCTAGAGTTGGAAACTGAGAACCCTAGGGTGTCCCAACAGGAATGATATAAGAACACTAGAAAACCAGGAAGGAGGGAGGAGAAATTGTTTATACTGTCAATTCTTAACCTCTCTAGAACACTAGATAATCAGGAAGTAGGAAGGAGAAATTGTTTATATTGTCAGTTCTTGACCTCTCTAATTTTTCACTATTTAAAAATACAACTATTCAGTGGTCATGGGCAATACTATTAGGATTTGCTTTTCATTTAATAAAATGCAGTTGGATAAACATACACTAATGACTTTCTCCAGAAGGTCAGAGGACCTGAGGTATACAGGCAAACTCAAGTTTCTCATGCACATCCCATTGTTAAAGGCCATCCATTTCCCATACATTCCATAACATGAAACAGCTTTTGTGTATCACCCACATCTGGCACAATGTTGGGCATAAACTTTGATACATACTAAGTAATTAGGAAACATTTATTTTTTAAAAAGTTAAGATTTTCTTTCTTTACATTTGAATTTCCTCTATCAATTCACCCTCCTATCCCTTACACAGAAACCAGGTAAACAAGGTACTCAATTGGGAGTGGCTACCTTACTCTTAGCAGAGCTTTTGTCAGAGCTCAAAGACAAGATTGATCTACCCCACCCACAATCAAGGACACAGTCTGGGTTCTGAATAATCCCAAAGTGGTTCAGCTGAACTAAGATTACTGGATTAGTTCAACAGAATCAGTGTCTTTTATTAGAAGAAAAAAAAATGTCGGGCCAGAGTGGCTCAGTAGTTGAGTATCAACCCGTGCACCAAGAGGTCACTGGTTCAATTACCATCAGGGTACATGTCCAGGTTGTGGGCCCAATCCCCAGTGGGGGAGACATGCAGGAGGTGGCCAATCAATGTTCTCTCTTTTCAATGTTTCTCTCTAAAAAATCAATAAAGGGGGGGAGGGGTAAGAGCCTGGTTAGCATGGCTCAGTTGGGTTTAGTGTCATCCCATGCACCAGGAGGTCACCAGTTCGATCCCAGTCAGGGCACATGCCCAGGTTGCAGGCTCCATCCCCAGTGAGGGATGTGCAGGAGGCAGCCAATCAAGTTTCTAGCGCTGTCTCTCTCCCTTTTTCTTTCTAAAATCAGTAAAAATATATTTTAAAAGAGAGAGAGAGAGAACCCAGTGAAGATGTATTATTACTGTTGCCTATAGTAGCAGTGTTCTGACTGATTAGCAAGACATAAAATCAATCTGGTGGGTTGTAATCAGCACTTTTAAACAGAAATATATAGAAATAAATGTGATTTATGAAACTGCTTTACACAAAGGATAAGTACTGTTTTGTGAAACTTGTGCTTCAGTTAATAATATATGTATGGCCCTGGCCGATTTGGCTCAGTGGTTGGAGCACGGACCCGAGGACTGAAGAGTCATGGGTTCGATTCCAGTCAAGGGCACATACCTCAACTGCAGTTCGGTCTCTAGCCCTGGTCAGGGTCATGTGGGAGGCAACCAATCGATGTGTCTCTCTCAAACCTATGTCTCTCCTGCTCTCTCTCTCCTTCCCACTCTATCTGAAGATAAATGAAAAAATATCCTCAGGTGAAGATTTAAAGTAAAAAAAATTAACAATACACATGTGCCCTGACTTGGTGGCTGAAAGGTAAGAGTCAAAGATCTTTCCCAGTGGGTATAATTTAATGGCTACATAAGATATCTGAAGGATTCAATTTCCAAATCATAAAGAGTAACAGTGGACAAGCAGATAGTTGGTTTTAGATTGTTTTTGTTATAACTATCAACATGTTATCAAATTCTTTGGGGAAACATTATAAAATCGAGTTATAAGACAACACTGTTCATATTCATATGAGTAATGACAGTTGTCCCTGAAATGGATATCTTAATAGCATACAACAAAACCATAGTCAGTCCACACAACACCAAACTTGGAAGCTTTACATCAGCTGTTTTTGAACTAGAAATTTCTGGTGTGCAAAAATAACAGGAATTGCTGGCTTAATTTTAACATTATATGAATATCATGTCCTTTCCCATATTCTCACTACTAAAATCTAATACCTTAAAAATTGTGCCAGAGCAAATTAAAGCCAGGCTACATAGGGCTCTAACTAGCCAGGATTTCCAGTCTCTTCCTTCAGTCATGAGGAAAAGGGGGCTTCTAGAGACCACACAACTTTTAACTTACATGCAAGAGACTGGGGGGAGGGAGGAAGGAGGACTACGTAGGTCCTTATCCCTTTTACCCAAAGACCCACTACTCAGATATAAAATACAGTAGCTCTGTGGACTTAAATACGGCAATTCAACAAGCAGTAAAGCAAAGACTAGTAATACCTGAAAGTTGCTTACTATCACATTTTCTCAAAATATCCATTACCCTGTGACTACTAAGCACACTGTAACCTCTATCTTTTCCATTTTATAGCAAGGAGGACCTGCAGCAAATTGGTAGCTCTTGTGTTTTAATGAGGTTATAGGTTAAAAGTTGGAGTTCAAAATAAAATCAAGGTTCAGTCAAGGTAAATGATGACTACAAACTATAAATATCCATATTGCCTTTATCCAAGTGTTGCAAGCTTCATGTAAAAGAACATCAGTTCATACTCAATGAAGAATTTTTTAGGGTATGAGAATGCATCTTTGCCTCCGTTAAATAGGACTACCTGTCTGAGCACTGTTCAAGAACCTCAACAGAGAGGATACTTTATTCTTCTTCCCCCTGCTTAAGTATCTGAGGTTCAACAAGCAGCCCACTTGAAAGCCTAAAGTGAGTGACCATCCAAACAACTTAAGCCCCCTCATTCTCATATTATATTCAGACTACTCAGTATCTGTCTTGTCTCATATTACACTCAAAAAGGTGTGGTGGGAGGCTTTGTCCAGGGCCTGATCTTTCACTTATTTTAGCTGGAACATACACACTTCAAGGGAGAGTATGAAGCTAAGGTTTTCTAGCTATAGGCTCTTTCAACTTAAAAAATAATCAGTCATATTTTCCACATTCTGTGGGAGAAAATAAGACAAGCTGATTCCTAACTCAGACCATTTAATATACAGGCAGATGGATGTGCACTGTTATAATGCACGAGGACATCCAACTGCAAAGTTACCCTCTGAGAGATGCCATCAGGGCAGCCTCAATATTTTGTGTAGGTCCCTCTCCCTGGGTAAACTCTAAGACCCATGGTAGACCCTAGCAGTAGGTACACACCTGTGGTGATCAGCACCTTCACCAGCCACCTGTGGAAGAGAAAAAAAGGCTTGGTATTGGTAGTGTGCATCACCAAGTACCAGCCAAGGTTAGTAATTGCCTGGAAGACTGCAGCATGTGTGGACATGTAGAATGTTCACTCAACAGTAACTTGGGGTATCTGGAAAGAGAATGAACAAAGAGAACCTGACCTATTTTCATGGGTGATAGCCCAAAATATGGTTCCTAAAGAGTAAAATTTATCGAGATGTAGTCTTTTCCTATATTTTGGTATTTGGAAGTAAATAATTTTCTGCTACAAGTTCCACCATGTACCATACTGCTTATCACTAACTTATCAAACATTGTCCAAAAATGTTCTCAAACATACGCCCATTCCCTCTCCTCTAATCCCTCCTTGGCAACACGCTTGTACCTTTCATCACATCAGAACACACAATAGTTTGGTATACATGTCTTCCTAGTTGGCAAGTGCTCTGAAAGTAGGGACCTATCTTTACTACTGAGTACACAGTGGACACTCAAAAGACTGTAGGATGACAATATTGAATTTACCCTAACAAACCAGCAAGAACCACAGACTCCTACTGCAGAGTCAGTGAAATGAGCAATGGATTGGAATTCAGGAGATAGGGCTTTCAATTTCTATTACCTTGGTGAACTATCTTGGAACAATGAACCTGTGATTTCCTACCTTAATAATAATGACAGTAACTATTTTAAAAATCTAAATCTATTTTAAAAGTTTAAGAAAGAAAAACAAACAAACAAGGGGGAGAAGCACAATAGTTTTTATCTCAAAGGATCTTTCTTTGTCTAGGCAATGTTTTCAAGAGCCATAAAGTCACCAAGCTAAACATAAACATCAACACTGACCAGTTTCTTTATGACATTACATGTAATATAAAAATCTTTCAAAAATCAATGTCTCATGGTCTTCTCAGCTAAAACAAACCTACTAATTTAAATCTGTTTCACACAACCAGAACATCTAAACATCAGGAATAAATCCAGCTGTTTTCTTAAAAAAGCTCTGTATGTTGGCCAGGGTAATCTTACTCACCAGTCCTACATTCCTAAGGGAACAAGAGGAAAATGAAGTCTAGGAACAGAAATGACGTACAAACCCAAAATAAATCAAAGGGAAAATGGGAATTGAGTTTTATTTCTAAGGGACTGAAATTCAATTGTCACAAGATTTTCCTGCTACTATGCATTTTCACATAGCTTTCAACATTTTAGGATAAGGCTACTATTTTTATCTAGGAGCTCAGACTCCTTCTCTTTCCTCCATCACTTTTCCACCCACTCTAAAATTCTGACTCTGATAAAATAATCTCTGCTTTCCTTAAGCACAACTACACCCACCTAGCAGGACTAATTAACAAGCTTTACCAAATCTCCTAATAACCTAGAATAACTGTCAATTCCACTGTGGTTTCAGCACAATAGGAGAACGTGGTTGAAGAAAAACGAAGCAAAAACTTTCCCTCACACCACACCTCTTACACAGATGGAACCAGTGTCTTACAGGTGAATATAGTCAAAGAAAACCATACATGACAGTTCTGTGATACCAAAGTGTATATGTACTGAATATATACATATTTTGGTGGTACGTGCCCCTAGTGGGAACCAAACCCAGGACTCTCTGGTCTGCAGGCCGACGCTCAACCGCTGAGCCAAATTGGCCAGGGCATATGTACTGAATATTAACATCCTCCCTATGCACCCCTTACCCACGCATACAGAAAGTTGTAGGTGAAGGTATCCAGACTGGGAGAGCCTCAAAAACATGGTATCAGGCCAGAAAAGTTTCTAGTATATGGTACTAGATGAAGTGATACAGAAATATTATGAATGCAGCCTCTTAAGTCTTCTATTGTCAATGGCACCCAAACCCTCATTTTGACTGTTGGGAAAGCGCTGCTTACCTTCAATGTGCCGGCGCACTGTCCAGACAGCATTGGGGTTACCGGGTAGTTCAGAGACAGCCATTTCCGACACCTGACAAGAGAGGAGATAAACCACAGGTCCAGTGAGCATGGAACTCAGCTCCCTATTTACAACTACACTATATAATAAGGTCCCAAAGGCAGTGCTCACACTGTAAACTGGATTAAAAGAATGTAAACATCTAGTCAAAAAAGAACATAAGAACCAAAAAGGTAAGAGGTATTGGCAATACCCATGACAGCTTTAACAAGAAATAATGAAACACCTGGAAGGATAGTTGTTGCAGCCAAAACTATATACTTTTTTGGGTATGGCATACCTGTGTCCTCCTCAAAAAAAGTATGTGGAAATGAATCAGGCCATGAGTTAGCATTTCATTTCTTTCCTTAGCCAAATCTCATCTCTCTTCATGGACCAATTGAAATGCCACATCTTTTAGGAAAAATCTTTCCTAACCTTCTTGGCTGGCAGTCTTCTCTCCCTCCTATAAGCTCTCACAGAAATCATAATCACTACTTCTTAGAGCACTTTTCCAAAAAGGGATCTGAGGAAATGTTATCATTCCCACTAGGTTTTTATGCATCTTAAGGTCAGAGTCAAGAATCCTATGAACTTCCCGGTCAAGATGGTGGCGTAGGTAAACGTGGAATCGCGTCCTGCCACAACCACATCAAAGTTACAACTTAACTACAAAACAACCATCATTCAAAACCTGAAATCAATCTCAATGGAAGTCCTACAACTACAAAATTAAAAGATACAGCTGCATCAAGACTGGTAGAAGGGACAGAGGCTGAGAGGCAGGTCCCACACCCACGTGTGGCAGATAAAAATTAGGAGGATATCTCAGCTGGGAGGTCCTCCCTGAGGACTGAGGGGTACCTGTCCCACACCAGGTGCCCGGCTCAGGGTTCCAATGCCAGGAAGAGAAGTCCCCATTACTTCTGGGTGGAAAAACCAGCGGGAAATGAGGCTCAGGGAGGCTAAGGCAGCTGGAGCCCCAGGCAGCTCCTTTTAAAAGGGCCCGCACATACCAGACTCACTCCCTCTAAGCCTGGAGGGGAGGCAGCTCGAGGGGCACCAGAGACACACAGGGAAGAACTGAGCTGTTTGGCATTGGAGCGAGGGCTGGAGAGGGGGCTTTCTCCGGGACAGACGTGCTTTCAGAGGCCTTTGTTCCTTTGGTGAGCCCTTCCCTGGGGCGTCAGACAGCCACCATATCTGGGATTCCAGCAACCTGGTTCACACTGGTTGCCCCGCCCTGGTGATTCCCTGAGGCCCCGCCCCACCCAACTTTCAGGCCCATCCAAGTTGTTGCCAGTTGCTTTACCATAGGATTGGCTTGTCTTGGATCCTGCTTCAGGTTTTCCTAAATTCTTTCAAACAAGCAGCATCTGGTCTCAGATAGCCCCATACCTCTTGTTAAGTAATACATAGAAACAAACACAGGGAGGCAGACAAAATGAGAAGAAAAAGAAACAGTTCCCAAATCAAAGAACAGAAAAAATCTCCAGGAAAAGAACTAAGCGAAATGGAGATAAGCAGCCTAACAGATGCTGAGTTCAAAATACTGCTTATAAGGATGCTCAATGAACTTAGTGAGAACCTCTGCGAACTTAGTGAGGGCCTCAAGAGCGTAAACAAGGACCAGTCAGAAATGAAGGAGGCACTCACTGAAATAAAGAATAATTTACACAGATTCAATAGTAGAGTAGGTAAAGCCAAGAAGCAAATCTTCGATTTGGAACATAAGGAAGCAAAAAACACCCAATCAGAACAGCAAAAAAAGAATCCAAAAAAATGAGAATAGTGTAAGGAGCCTCTGGGACAACTTCAAGCGTGCCAACATTCGCATCTTGGGGGTGCCCGAAGGAGAAGAGAACAAGAAATCAAAACCTATTTGAAACAATAATGGCAGAAAGGTTCCCTAACTTGGAAAAGTAAACAGACATACAAGTCCAGGAAGCACAGATGAACCCCAAGAGGCCCACACCAAGACACATCATCATCAAAATGCAAAAGGTTCAAGAAAAAGAGAGAATCTTTAAAAGCAGCAAGAGAAAAGCAGTTAGTTACCTACAAGGGAGGTCCCTTAAGACAGTCAGCTGATTTCTCAAAAGAAACTCTGCAAGCCAGAAGGGAGTGGCAAGAAATATTCAAAGTGATGAAAAGCAAGAACCTACAATCAAGATTACTCTATCTTGCAAAGCTGTCATTTAGAATCGATGGCCATATAAAGATTTTCCCAGACAAGAAAAAGTTAAAGGAGTTCATCACCACCAAACCGTTATTATATGAAATGTTGAAGGGTCTTTTTGAAGAAAAAGATAAAATATATGAACAAACAAAATGGCAATGAACACGTATCTATCGACAATGGAATCTACAAACAAAATGAACAGGCAGAACAGGAACATTCTCATAGATACAAAGAACATTTTGTTGGTTACCAGATGGGAGGGGGGTTAGGAGAATGGGTGAAAAAGGTAAAGGGATTAAGAAGAACAAGTTGGTTACTACATTGACAAACCTCAAAGAGAAGGGGGTTGGGGGGGTGGGAAGAAATAAACCAAAGAACTTATATGCATAACCAATGGACACAGACAACAACAGTGTGGGGAAAGGCAGGAGGGGGCGGGAGTGGGGAGGACGGGGTCAATGGGGGGAAAATAAGGAACATCTGTAATATATTCAATAAAGATAAAAGAAAAAGAAAGAATCCTATGAATGTCCTACAGGTTCTCAAACATCAAACAAAATATCTAAGGTGAACATAAAATGATCTAGAAAAGTGGGTGTGGGTTATACATGAACTCTCTATACTATCCTTGCAATTTTTCTGTAAATCTGAAACCATTCTAAAATAAAAATTATGTTAACATTATTTATTTATTTATTTTAATTTCTTTATTGACTTTAGAGAAAGAGGAAGGGAAAGGGAGAGAGCTAAAAATATCCATTGATGACAGAGAACATCAACTGGCCACCTCCTGTATGCCCCCCACTGGGGATTTGGCCCACAACCTGGGCATGTGCCCTGACCAAGAATTGAACCGGTGACCTCTTGATGCATGGGCTGACACTCAACCACTGAGCCACACTGGCTGGGCAGTTAATATTTTTTAAATGATCTAAAGACAATAAACCAGATGACTTGATATACTATACTGTCTAACTACATTTTGTAGGCAGAACTCAAGTATATTCATGAAAGATATTACCACTTCCTTAGTTTACTAATATAGTAATAGCAGAAATGACCAATCATGGTACAAGAAAATCCTGAAAAATTTTATCAATAAAATGCAGGTATCAGATATGCTACATTCTATACCAAATGTGACCCTGTTTAACTGAGATCATAATCTAGCCAGACAATAAGGTTCAAATACACACAAGGAACAAAGCAATGTTCAACAACATAACAAAGGTTTTTTAATTTTACTTTTTCAATTACAGTTTACATTCAATGTTACTTTGTATTAGTTTCAGGTACACAGCATAACAAGAAGTTGTATTTTTTTTGTAGAATTGGAATACAGTGGTAGGGACAGGGGATTAAAAACAATTGATGTTGGGTCCTTCTTACACTGTACATAAAATTTTGTGTAAATGCATATATGCACTTTTAGAGAAGTGCCAGCTTTCATCAAAAGTGCAATGGAGCCCGGCCAGTGTGGCTCAGTGGTTGAGTATCGAACCATGCACCAAGAGGTCACCAGTTTGATTTCCGATCAGGAAACATGCTCAGATTGTGGGCCCAATCCCCAGTGGGGAGCATGCAGGAGGTGGACAATCGATGTTCTCTCTTACAGATGTTTCTATCTCTCTCTCCCTCTCCCTTCCTTTCTAAAAATCAATAAAGAAAAAATATTTTATAAAAATTTAAAAAGCTCGATGGAATCCATTGAATTAAGTAACTAATCAAGAACTACTGGTCTAAATTGGGTTTGGATCATTGAAATTTTGGTGGATTGTTGCATATTTTGACAGTCAAAACTTATCGAATTCCTTGAACAGCAATGTTAATAGCTAACATTTACTGAACAATTTAATTATATGCCAGACCCCGAGCTACATACTTTATATGTATTATCTTATGTAATTCACACATTAATCCTTTAAGGCAGGTGCCATTAAGCCCATTTTTACAGAAGAGGAAATAAAAGCTTAGTAATAGCTATTCACTGGTAGAGGCAGAATTCAAAACCAAGGTCAACTTGATTGTGTTCCAATAAAAATCTACAAAAACAGGCAATGGGGCCTATAGTTTGTCAACCCTAAGCTCTGAAAGCAAACTGCCTAGAAAGATTTCTTTTCATTGCTTCCTCCTGAAGCAGTTCAGGGAAATGAACACAAGAGGATTTCCTGGCTGGAGCCTGCTGAGGCCTACCTATGTGGAAACCTTGAAAGTCCTACTGTGCTGACTCTTCCCAGTGTGGTGACATTACTGTCCCCTTTATGTGGCGCATGGACATGGATTTTTCCAGACCCCTTAAAGTGGTGCACGTTCTGAAAACCCTTTCTCTATTATGCCATAATTTTGCTCTAGTCAGTGAATGTTCGTAAAGCTGCACCTGAATTTTTAAATTTATGAAACATGCAAAATTAAACACACACACACGTTTTGCTATGTGGTTTCCAAGTTTTAAATATCAAAAAAATAAAAGGCTTAAACTTCAAAAAATAAAGAAAGATTTACTTTACTACTAACAAAATCAAGTTCTAAATATTTGCTAAAAGGTTAACACTAGAATCAGGAGGATAAGATGACATGGGATTTGAGAAGATAATTTTGAATGCCCATGTCACCTACAAGGCCCAACAATAAAGGATTCATCCACTTTGGTGGAAAAGTGCAGAAAAGTTTAGTATGATGTGACTTGAGCATATAGCAATAAGGAAGAAATTTAGTAAAATATAAAAATATATACACAGAATTAATATAGTAAAAAAAATTTAAGTATCTGAAAACTTTGAATAACCAAGACAGAAGGAAATGGAGTAGAATGTTCCATGTAGATTTCCTAATTTCCATGTTAAGGCTAGTGAGCCTGGAACTAGTAGAGATGTTTTTCCCCTTTCATCCTCATTTGCCAGTTTTTTAAAATGTGCCTATTGTACTAACATGTTAAGGAATAAAAAATTTAAACTTTATGGAAATAAAAGAGGAAAGAACATTTTTCTTTTACAGAAACATTAAATTTGTCTTAGATCTCATCTGAGTAAAGCTATAGGCTGCTTTATCAATGCTTCCCTCCAAACACTGCAGATGAACTTACCTCAAGTCCATGCCTCAAGACTCTCAGAGATGATCGGGGTCCCCGACCACAGGCCACATACAGTTGTGGAGTGTCTTCATTTGCCAAATCAGCTATCTGTGGGGGAAAAAAGTCTACTTGTGCTAAGTTTTCACACTGATCCCTGATTATTCTCAGGAAGCAAACCACTTTTTAGTTTATAAAGCTTATATACTGGCTAATGGCTGTGGGAGCATGAAGGAAAAAGCCTGAACGTTCCCCAGTTGTAAGACGGGTTTTACCAACCAACAAAAAACTGTACAAGTTAGCAAAGGACTTCTTCTTCTTCTTCTTTTTTAGTTACTGATAGAAGTGTTATATAACCTCCAACTGAAATTTAGCATTTCCTCCAAATAAAAATACAAACTATAATCTTATCAGTACCATTGACTTCCTTACCAGTAAAAACCACATTTATTCATATAACATTAAAGTTTATAGATACAGTACCTCCAATTATTTCCCTAATCACCACTTTAAAGCTATATTCACTATCTACTGTTATACTGCACATGATCACAGATGCCCTAATGGGTAACTCTGCACCTGGTTTTTCACCCCTGACATCTAGATGCTGGCTTCCAGTACAATTATTTGTTGATCAATATGTGAAAGAGGTCAGTCATTTGTATTGTAGTTTTGTCAAACTGAACAGTTAAATGAAAACTCCTGACTGCCTGTAAGGCATTGTACCCTACTTTAACATGGGTGAGCCTGTGAGTTGAGCACCTATGGCCTTAACACTGATCTCTTAAAAAAAATTAGCTCATCTATTTTAAATGCACTATCTTATTATTTAAAGCCTTAATAAAGGAAACACATATATTACTTTTTTACAACTTAAAAATATGTTGCTATCTTAGCTATCATGTTTACTACTATATGCACTTAAAATTATTCAGAGAGGGAATCCAGATACCTCACCAGGCTAGTAAAGATCCATGGCACAAAAAATGCTTATAGCCCTGCTACTGATACCTGAATTTGTTAATTTTATTCTTGATCTACAAACTACTTACACAATTACTTCCTCAAATTCCAATGAAAGGAGAAGAAAAATCAAATTAAAAAATACTTTTATTTTCTATTGCCCTGAGGACAGACTCTTTCTTTAAAATAAAGAATAGACGCAGCTAACTTCAAATGAACAATTTTACCAGGAAGAGTAGCTGAATGCTGACTTGTTCCCCCAGCACCCAGTGAGCAAATCTCTCCCCCAATAGAAGTGTGATCAACTAGACAGGGTAGGGGTTCCCTAATAGTCACCCAAATCCCAGCAATCCAGGACACAGAGGCTTGGTAAAATTCCTATTTAACTGAACACCAGTAGTAGGGAATGCTATCCCCATCCTGAGCCACCTCAGGTTCCTCCCTGAGGATGTGATTTAAAAATTCCTGCTAGCTGTGGCCAGATTGGCTCAGCAGTTAAGAGCATCAGCCCTCGAACCGAAGGGTCTCAGGTTCAAGTCCTGATCAAGGACATGTACCTTAGTTACAGGTTCAATCCCCGGCCCTGCCCTGGCCAGTTTGCTCAGTGGTTAGAGCACCAGCCCACGGACCAATGAGTTGCAGGTTCAATTCTGGTCAAGGGCGCATTACCTCGGTTGCGATTCCACCCCGGCCCTGGTTGGGGTCCTGCGGGAGGCAGCCACTCAATGTATTCCTTTCACGTCGATGCTTTTCTCTCTCTCTCTTCCCAACCCCCACCACCACTTTATCTGAACAAAGATGGAAAAATGTCCTCAAGTGAGGATTAAAAAAATAAAAACTCCCCAGCCCTAATTGGGGTCTGGTGGGAGGCAGCCAATCAATATGTCTCTCTCTCTCTCATACCGCCACCCTCATCTATCTAAAAATCAACGGAAAAATATCCTCGGGTGAGAATTAAAAAATAAAAAATTCTTGCTACTGCCCTGGCTGGTATGGCTCAGATGACTGAGCGTTGTTCAGTGCACTGAAAGGTTGCCAGTTCAGTTCCTGATCAGGGTACATGGTGAGGCTGCGGGGTCAATCCCCAGTTGGGGTACATGTAGGGGGCATCTGATGGATCTCTCTCTCACATCAAGGTTTCTTTCTCTCCCTCTCTAAAAATTAATAAAAACATATTAAAAAAAAAAGGAAAAGTCCCTGCTACTGACTGATCTCAGTGTGTGTGGAGAATTCTGAGGAGGAAATCAATATTAAATATGAGATAAAAGCAGGTATTCAGACTGTTAAGTGATAAAGGGTCAATTTTAGAATACTATAAAGTATATGAGTCATTTACATTAAAGAGAAAAATACAACACACATATTTAGTTGTTACATATATATGTGTATGCTTATAGATGCAGAGACAATGACTGGAAGCAACTACAAGTCATCAATAGCAACAACCTCAGTGGAATAGGGGTATTGAAAAGACTGGGGAGAAGGCTTTTACTTTTGGCCTTTTGTATGGTTTGAATTTTTACACTGAACATGAGTTTTATAATTAAACCAGGAAAAAAAAAAAGCCCAAGAATGTACATAATGGTTTTTAGTTCCCCAACTTCTACCTTAAGCTGCTTCATCTTTACAACTCTGGTGATTCCAGACATGCTGACAAACCTGACACTTAGACTAGACCTTAATTTAACTGACTAGACCTTAATTTAACTAGAGTTAAAACTTTAAACTCATTCAGATACAAAATCGCTTGGTTGGCACTGCTCATTGTGGAGGTGACTGGAAAGACCCAAACCTGGCAAAACAAAATGGGAGAGAGGCTGTCCAACTCATCGACTAGCACAAGGTTTTTGAGAGGTCTTGGCTGAAAGAAGAATGTGTCTCCTTCTTCCAGAGGCATGGCAGATGAAAACTCAGGTTCTTCATCATCATCTCCAAGATGTGCAATTTGATATAAGTAACTGGAGAAAAGCAAACAATACTTTAGTTAAAAACATTTTCTATCTGAATATGTTTGACATCAACATTAATGCTCATAAAAGCACTTTATAATTATCTAATCCAAATTATAACATGCATTTTTTTTTTTATCCTCACCGAGGACATTTTTCCATTTTTTGTTCAGGTAGAGTCGGAGGGGGAGAGAGGAACAGAGAGAGAGAGAAACATCGACGTGAAGGGACACATCGAGTGGCTGCCACCCGCACGACTGACCAGAGCCGGGGACAAACTGCAACCGAGGTACATGCCCTTAGCGGGAACCGAACCCGGGTCTCTCGGGACCGCAGGCCGACGCTCTAACCGCTGAGCCAAACCGGCCAGGGCATAACATGCATTTTTAAGTTTAAAATCTCTGCTTATCTGAGTGAAGTTTCCTCTTATTTTTTAGAATAGAAAAGGACCTGGCCAGTATGGCTCAGTGAACTGAGCATTATCCCATGGACTGAGGTCCCAGTTTAAATCCCAGTCAGAGCACATGCTGGGGTTGTGAACTCGATCCCCAGTAGGGGGCGTGCAGGAGGCAGCCAATGGATGTTTCTCACCATCGATGTTAGATTTCTCTCTCTCTCCCCCTTCCTTCCTCTCTAACAACAAAAAAAAATCAATAAAAACATATCATTTTTGAAAGAATAGAAAAGAGATGAAAAAAATTAAGATTACTGAATTCAAGCTGGTACAATGAAAGAACCTCAGCATCACAGTGGTTAAAAGCACTGGGCTTCCACTAGAGTGCTTGGGTCTGAATCCCAGCTCTATCCCTTAACAACAGCCACATAACCTTAGGCTTTTTACTTAATTTCTCTGTTCCTCACTTGCCTCATTTAAAAAAATGGGTAGAGCTTCGTCATGAGGACCAAAGAGTTGAGGGTTCAATGTCTAGCTCCAGTCAGAATCGTGCAGAAGGCAACCAATCGATGTGTCTCTCTTACACGGATATTTCTCCTCCTGCTCCACTCTTATCTAAAAAAACAAAATCAGCCCTGGCCGGTTTGGCTCAGTGGTTAAAGCGTCGGCCTGCGGACCAGAGAGGCCCAGGTTCGGTTCCCGCTAAGGGGATATATACCTCAGTTGCAGTTTGTCCCCGGCCCTGGCTGAGGTTGTGTGGGTGGCAACCACCCGATGTGTCTCTCTCACATCGATGTTTCTCTCTCTCTCTTCCTCCATCTCTCCCTCCTGCTCAATCTCAAGATAAATGCAAAGAATTTTAAAAAAATAAATAAAAAATAAAAAAAACAAAATCAATGGAAAAATATCCTTAAGTGAGATTAAAAATAACAATAGTAATAATAATAAATAAAAAACCAGCTCAAATCTATCAAAAAACAAGAATGGGTGGTGACTTTGCAGATATATGCAGGTATTACCATATTATTCCCCAAACAAAACATAAATATAGCCAAATATAATAAACAAAATCTGGCCCTGGCCTGTTTGGCTCAGCGATTAGAGGGTCAGTATTGGCCCAAGAGTCGAAGAGTCTTGGGTTCAATTCCGGCAAGGGCACGTACCTTGGTTGCAGTTTGGTGCCTGGCCTTGGTCGGAGTTGTGCGGGAGGCAACTAATCAATGTATCTCTCTCACATCAATCTTTCTCTCTTCCTCCCTCCCTATCTAAAAATAAAATAGGGAAAGAATATCCTCAGATGAGGATTAAAAAAAATAAACAGCCCTGGCCAGTTTTGCTCAGTGGTTAGAGCATGGCCCGCCCACCAGAGTCCCGGGTTCAGTTTCCGCTAAGGGCACATGCCTCGGTTGTGGCAGGTGCAAAAATGTCCTCCGGTGAGGATAAAAAATAAATTTAAAAAATAAACAAAATATGTCCTCTGGCTAATAATGCTTATTAGTGGACTGATTCATTTTTTTCTTTTTATTCCTCACTCAAGGACACTTTTCTACTTATTAGATAGAGTAAGAGGAAGTGGAGGAGAGAGACAGAGAGGGAAAATCTGATGTGATAAAGCCACATCGATTAGTTGCCTCCTGCACGACCCCAGCAGGGCCAGGGACAAACCGCAACTGAGGTACGTGTCCTTGATTGGAATTGAACCCATGACTCATTGGTCTACAGGTTGACACTCTAACTGCTGAGCCAAACTGGCCAGGGCTCTTTTTTTTTTTTCAATCTTCACCTAAAGATATTTTTCCATTTATCTTCAGATATAGTAGAAGGGAGGGAGGGGGAGAGAGAGAGAGAAACATCAATATGAGAGAGACACATATCGAATGGTTGCATCCTGCACAACCCCAACCAGGGCCAGGGCCCAAACTGTAACCAAGGCATGGGCCCTTGACTGGAATTGAACCCACGACTCTTTGGTCTGTGGGCCAACGCTCTGACTGCTGAGACAAACTGGTCAGGGCATTAGTGGACTGATTCAAAGACAAACCACAAAAAACTGGAAAGCAATTTGAGAATAATCTATAACAATGTGCCATCATAAATTGAGTATGCAATGAGCTTTAGGGAAGCAGCTCAATTAAAATAAAACACCAGCCCTGGCTGGTGTGGCTCACTGACTGGTAAGAGTGTTGGTCATGCACTGAAGGGTTGTAGGTTCGATTCCTAGTCTAGGGAACGTACCTGGATTGCATGTTTGATCCCAGGCCCCCATTGGGGCGCGTGCAGGAGGCAACCAACTGATGTATCTCTCTCATACTGACGTTTCTCTCCGCCGCCCCGCCCTTCCACTCTAAAAATCAATGGAAAAATTATCCTCAGGTGAGGATAAAACAAAAAAACAAAAACCAAAAACACCAAACTACTGGTTATATTTATTTTTTAAGTAACATACCGGACCTTCAATACAGAGCACTTTGAACAATATTTAATTCAGCTTTTTAGAAGCAGAGTGACTAAATCAGTGTCTGAAATACATAAGATACTGAAAAAACTTCAGCATTTAACACTTTTGGTAAACACATCAGATACAAAAAAGCCATTAAGGTTATTATGTTTGAACGATCTATCAAAAGCATAGAGAAGATAGGACACATACAAAAATTAGTATAAACTTCTTATTCAGGCAAGATGCCTATATGCACATGATAAATATCCCCTGTCAAAGATACCTTCAGTGTCTAGTAACCAAAGAATATGGGCTATCTTCATCATCACAGGAAAGGTTGCTTTGGTTGAGTCTCAGTAAAATAATCCCTGAGACTATATAGGGTTATGCGTAAGAGCAGAGACTCTGGAACCAGGTTGTCTGGGTATGAGTTAGATTTAATTGTGTGATTAAATTTCTGAAATTCTCTGTAAGCCAGAGAAACTGTAATGGCACTATCTCATTAGGAATGCTATGACTTAATATTTGTAAAGTGCTTAAAACAATGCTTGGAACTTAATTAGTAAATGCCAAATTGTTAGATTGACAAATAGGCTGTTGTATGAATTAAATGAGCTAACACCACAGCACATTTCTACTGCCTCAAATCACCACTTAAGTCTTCCAAATTTCAGCTGCAACAGCAATGAATAATTTCTCACAAGATCAAACACATCTCACTCTGACAGCATCCCACCTGTATACTGTAGTCTTTCTTTCTACTCTGCCCTAAGAACTTCTACCTCGTGGGAGGCTGCCCAAGCCACAGGATGTGCAGAAGACCTCATGCCACCAGGGTAACTTGCAACCCAGGAGAGAGAGGAGCTGCTGTTGTTAACCTTTAGATACTCTGCTTGCTTCATGCTCAACAGGTCCTCCTAAAAGTGAGTCCCCACTGCCCACAGTCTTGCTCACTCTCATACTGAATGTTCTTTTCTTCTTTAGATTTGTACAAAGTGTTTGTGGAACATGTGTTTAATACTAAGTAGTTCAATAAATAATCTATTCAATAAAATACCCAGCAAAAAGCTCAGGAAATCACTTCTAAAGCTATGCAACCACCCACAAGTATAGATCAAAGCCACTGAAGTAGAAGAAAATAATCAAAAGAATGTAAAAGGGAAAGAAGGGCAAAACTTTTGTTTTGAAGAAACTAAACATTCTTGTGAAAAGCTCCCTGGCCTTGAAGCTACATGTCCCTCCTACAATTGTTATAACCAGGGTGAACACGGGTAATAAAAGGACTACTCACTGGTTTCCAAATTCTGATGCTACAAAAAGGAAGCCTGTTTTAAGCACACACATGGCAGCAGCAACAGGCACCGTATCAAAATACTTGAGCCGGATCTCAGTAACCTGGAGTGAAAGGACAAAAAAAATTCTAGTGTGTAGGCAAGTGAAGCTAAGCTCGACCATGGAAGGGAACCCAGTATTATAAAACAGCATAAACAGTGTACCAAATAAAATACTGTACTTAAGTCTTTTCCCCACCTCTAACCATGGCTCCTTACCATATCTTCATCAGTCTCCAAAGTGATCTTGAAGATATCGCCCTGCTCAGTTTGGGCCAAAAAGAAGAACATTGATTTGGTCTTATGGGTGGCAGAGCAGACAAAAATCATTCCTCTTTCAGGGTCATCCAGGTCATTCTAGCAAAATTAAATATACAACCAACATTGTAGAAATGAGTACTTATATTGGATTTCAGCACCTTACCAACAGGAATTATACAAGCTACCCAAGGCCTAGAGGCATCTGGAGCCTCCATACAACCTGAGCCAGAGCAGCCAACTTAGCCATGGCAATAAAACACAATATCTAAAATATTCTGTTTGAGCCCAGCCGGTGTGGCTCAGTGGTTGAGCGTCAACCCACACACCAAGAGGTCACCGGTTCAATTCCCGGTCAGGGCACATGCCCAGGTTGTGAGCCTGATTCCCAGTAGGGGGCATGCAGGAGGCAGCCAATCGATGTTCTCTCTCATAGATGTTTCTCTCTCTCTCCCCCTTTCCCTTTCTTTCTCTCTAAAATCAATAAAGAAAAACATTTTTAAAAATAAATATTTTGTGCCCTGGCCGGTTTGGCTCAGCGGTTGGAGCGTCGACCTGCGGTACAGAGAGACCCGGGTTCGGTTCCCGCTAAGGGCATGTACCTCGGTTGCAGTTTGTCCCTGGCCCTGGTTGGTCATGTGGGTGGCAGCCACTCGATGTGTCCCTTCACATCGATGTTTCTCTCTCTTTCTCTCTCTTCCTCTCTCTCCCTCCCGCTCTATCTGAACAGAAAATGGAAAAATGTAAATGGAAAAATGTCCTCGGGTGAGGATAATAAATAAATAAATAAATAAATATTTTGTTTACTATGTAAATACATAACAAAGCCTGAGTACCAAAAAGTAGCCATAATTCCACTCTATGTCCTAATTAGGTCACAGCAAAAACTTTCTCAGGAAAATGTCAGAAAAGAGACACAAACTTAAAAAAATCATCATTTCAGGGTGTGGATAAAACTATTTGCATATGCCACTACCATCCAAACCATTCAAAATCAGCCCTGTTCTACATCAACTTCCTTGATTCCTAAGATGAGTATTCCATTGGCTATAATCTTTTGGATCTTTTTTGTTTCCAACATTTTGTAGTTCTCTCACTGAATAAGCTCTTCAAGGGGAAAACATGTTTTATACTTCTTTGTAGTCCCAAGGCCAAGTATGGTGCCCTACAGTTAAAGATGTGCAATAAATGTCTCATCAACCAACTAAATTACTTTCTACCCCTTACCAAGAATTTAACTTGCTAAATTTCTTCTCAGGTTTTCTAAAATTGATGGAATCTTACTCAGATACCTTGTATTAAGAAAAGTAACTCCTAAAAGTTTTAACACCAAGATCTATAAATTAATATCGAAAAAAGAACTGATTTGAGGCTGAGAGGAGAAATTGAGGAAATGGAGATAAATCAAGATTAGCTAACTGTTGGTAACTACTGAAATTGGGTACGTAAAAATTAATTACATTCTTTTTTATATGCTTAATAATTTCCATAGTAAACTGTTAAAATTAAGAGCAATAAAACATTATTTTCAACCACCAAAGTAGTAGCTAATCAAAGGGAAAACCACTAGATGAAAAGATGTTGAGTAAAAGGACATTTACACAGTCTCAAAGTTCACCACCAGATTCCACACCAAATACAAAAAGAAAAAGGTATCTTTACAATTAAGAGAGCAGAGACACACCAATGTAACAAAATGACTGATTTAGCATCACTAATAATGAGACAAACCGATAGTGTGCCCCTAACATGATCTAGTGGAAAATATGTATCATCTCCTACATAATAATTCTAACAAAAATATTAACCTGGATATAATCATGAGGAAAAAATTATGGGACAGACTATAAGAAAACTAGCCCTGCCTTTTAAAAAAAAAAAGTTAGTGTCGTAAAAAACCCAAATCAAACAAAAATGAGAATAAAATACTCTAAGTTAAAGGAGACTGAAGTTCTATAGATTACAAGGGAATTTTGGGGGATGAAATTGAAAATACATAATTCGATTACATGAAATGGTCAAGTTGGGGGGCATAATAGTGGTAGTTTGGTTATGAACAAAAATGTCCTCATTTCTTAGGACCCACATCTTAGATTCTTGTAATGAAGTGTCACAATGCCTGCAATATATTTTCAAATGATTTAGCCTCAAAAAGTTTACATGTGCATACACACACACACACACTAAGGAAAATGCAACTAAATATTAATAATTGGTAAATCCAAGTGAAAGGCAAACTGAAATCCACTGTCCTAAATCTTAAAATTTGCTGTATGTTGGAATGGGGAAAAATGATAAACAGAATGAAAGACAATTTATCTCCAACAAATATGCCTGGCTTCTTCAAACTAGAAACCAGGAATTTCAAGTTGATCATGTTCATAGGTTCCTCTGAAATGGAAAGTTAGTTTTTAATTCCCTTTCTCAGAGAATTTGATTTGTTTTTACTATCATATTTTACCAGCTTTATTAAAAATAATATTTACAAAGAAACTAAAACTTGGTAACAGATAAACTAAGAGACTACACTGTAATTACAAAAATTAAGTCCAGCCCAGCCATTGTGGCTCTGTGGTTGAGCATCGACCCATGCAGCAAGAGGTCTGCCATTTCGATTCCTGGTCAGGGCACATGCCCAGGTTGTGGGTCCAGTCCCCAGTGGGGGGGCATCCAGGAAGAGGCCAGTTCTTTCTCATCAATATTTCAATCTCTCTCTCCCTCTCCCTTCCACTCTCTCTCTAAAAATCAAAAAAGAAAAAAAAATTTTTTCCAAGAAATAAAACAAATTAAGTTCATTTCACAAACTCAAATATCAATTCTCTTGCAGCCAACAAAGACCTTACCCTTCTCCTGGGAATTGGACAGCGGATATCTGGTTGGTCACCAAAGTTCTTATAGGTGATATAGTTTTCAGAGCAGATTAGCACTCCACTTGGACCATCTGACCCTCCTGGAACTGTGAGAGAAAATAAAACTTAGCAATGATTTGACATAATCATGAATTACAATTTATGTTTCAATTAATTCTCTCCTTTAGCACAACCTGATGAAGGTACAGTGTGCCTAAAGCTCAGAACATAACAAGTGTTGCTTTTCTCTGCAAGTTATGCTAGACAAAACTGGAACCTAGTTTGGGTGGGTGACTCAGTCTGTTCAGATAACCAATGATAATACATCTAAACTTTTAGCTCTAAGCCCAGAACTCAGTTCTCAGCTTCAGACCTATAGTTCAACTGCATGGATCTTCAACTGGCACCTTCAATATACAACGTGTTCACTAACTCAAGTTTGTTCCCAAACCTATTCTACCTCCTGGGTTCTATACCTTAGAAAATACCACCAACAAAAAGACCAAACCAGAAATCTGGGTGTCAACCTTCAATTCTCTCCCCTCAAACAGCCCTACTGATTCTACTCCTTAGCAGCTCTCAAGCTACCAATCCCTTGGCTTAGTGAAACAGCTTCCCGATCAATCTCCTGGCTTACAGTCTTAACGTACTTCATCCCATTAACCAAAATGTAAGTCAGTACAGGCATACCTTGTTTTATCACACTTTGCATATACTGCATTTTCATCAACATCAAGACCCCCCACCAGCAAAAAGATTACAACTTTGCTGAAGGCTCAGATGATAGTTAACATTTTGTAACTGAGGTTTTGGGGATTTTTTTTTTTTTGAGCAATACTTTTTAATATTTTTTCTTTATTGATTTAGAAAGAGAAGAGAGAGGGAGAGACAGAAACAATGATGAGAGAGAACATCAACTGGCTGCCTCCTGCATGTCCCCACTGGGGATTGGGCCCACAATCTGGGCATGAGCCCTGACTAGGAACTGAACCAGTGACCTCTTGGTCGCATGGGTTGACGCTCAACCAGTGAGCCACACCAGCCAGGTTTGAGCAGTTTTTATTAAGGTATGTTTAAACATACCAATGCATACTTAACAGAACACAGTATAGTATAAATAAAACTTTTATATGCACTGGAAAATAAATTCACATGCCTCACTATACTGCGTATTTGCTATATTATGGTGGTCTGGGACTGAACCTGCACAATCTCCAAGGCATGCCAGCTTATTATTCCCCTGCTTAGAATCCTTCAGTAGCTACCACTCCACCACTACCTCCATACAGCCTTTAGCATACTGATCCAATCACAGTGAGCTTTCAGTTCTTTAAATGAACCATGTTCTTTCTTGCATTTGGATCTTTTGTATGCTATTCCCTTTGTCCACAACAGAAATCTTTCTCAACCCCCACTGTACCTAGCTAATTTCTACCAAGTCTTCAGGTCTCAGCTTAGAAAACACTTCTTCAAAAAGTTTTTCTAACAAATTCCCTTCCTTTCTCTTGGTTAGAGACCCTTCCTGACATTCAACACACCTGACAATTTTTTTTGTTATTTATACATATTCATTAGTCTCAGTCTTGCATAAAGGGAGATACTACATCTAATTTTTCACAACTGCAATCCCAAAATTCAGTAGACTCACTTTGCATACTGATTCTAGAGACTCAAGAAATATTTGTTGAAAGAATGAACCCTTCCTCATAAATGAAAGGTATGGTAATATGTTACAGCAAGTTAATGAGATGTTATCTATTTCCCAAGGTTCTTCAGCATATATAGTCTCTTCCTAATATTTAATGCTTAAAGACAAATGCTGTCTTATATTATTCTTCTCCAAAACCCTCTAACAGACATAATTCGTTTTAGACATCAATCCAAGTGTACATGGCTCAGAACGAAATGAATTATTGTCTTCCCCAAGCTTGCCAAAATGTTTATGACCACAAATATAGATGTCCTCCTTTAGTCTTTTAATTTAATGAATTAAGCTGATTATGATTTTCTAATGGTAAACACTTGTGAGCTCCTATAAAATTCCTACTTAGCTATATAATACATTTAAAATACAGTTGAGCCCTGGCCGGTTTGGCTCAACGGTTAGAGCGTCGGCCTGCGGTCCAGAGAGACCCGGGTTCAGTTTCTGCTAAGGGCAAGTACCTCAGTTGCAGTTTGTCCCCAGCCCTGATTGGGTTGTGCGGGTGGTAACCATTCGATGTGTCCCTTTCACGTCGATGTTTCTCTCTCTCTCCCTCCCACTCTATCTGAACAAAATACGGAAAAATGTTCTCGGGTGAGGATAAAAAAATATATATGATTGAGACTGGCCAGTGGTTCAGTGGGCCAAATCTCCAGTGGGGGGCATGCAGAAGGCAGCCATCAATGTTCTCTTTCAGTGATGTTTCTCTCTTTCCCTATCCCTTCCTCTCCCTCTAAAATTAATAAAGAAAAAAAATTAAAATATGACTGAATTTGATTTACTAAACTTATAGGTTTTTTAAATCTATAATCACAAGTATAACTAGGTTGTAAATTTTTGTTACTGTCCTTCCCCATTTTGGCACTAGAGTTACATTAGGCTCATAAAGTGATATATTAGTTTTAATTCTTTCTCAGTCTCTGGAGAAATTTAAGGTCCCTGAGAATTCTGGACTTTGAGGCAAAGAGATTTTCTTGACTATGGTTCCAATTTCTTTAGTGTATAATAGTCTATTCAGGTTCTTAATTTCTTCTTGAATCAATTTCGGTAAGTTTTCAAATTCATGTACATAAGTTTATCTTGTTGGGTTTGTCCATTTCATTTGTCTTTTCAAAAACCTAGGTTTTGATTTTCTTTCTTTTTTTGAAAATCCTCACCCGAGGATATATTTCCATTGATTTTTTTTCTCTTTTTTCAGATAGAGTGGGAGGGAATGAAGGAGGGACGGAGGGAGGGAGTGAGAGACACAGGGAGAGAGGGAGAGAGAGAGATGTGGGACACATTCATTGATTGCTTCCCACACAACCCTGACCAGGGCCAGGGATCGAACCTGACACTGAGGTACATGCCCTTGACTGGGAATCAAACCCACGACTCTTCAGTCCTTGGGCCGACACTCTAACTACTGAGCAAAACTGGCCAGAGCAGGTTTTTTGTTTTAATCCTCACCCGAGAACATTTTTCCATTTTTTGTTCAGAGAGAGTGAGAGAGAGAGAGAGAAAAACATCGACATGAAAGGGACACATCGAGTGGCTGCCACCCACATGACCAACCAGGGCAGGGAACAAACTGCAACCGAGGTACATGCCCTTAGCGAGAACCGAAACCGGGTCTCTCTGGACCACAGGCTGACGCTCTAACCACTGAGCAAAACCAGCCAGGGCCAGGGCAGGTTTTGATTTTCTTAATGAGAATGACTGACTATAGTCAAAATATCGCAGCAAACAAAAGCAATCAATATTCTAAGCTGACTGCTCTCCTAGTCCTTTCTTCCTTGCTCCCATTAAAGAATAAAAGTTAATCACCACATGAACTTCTAACCTCACCAAAACGCAGAGAAGTTACTCAAGTTTACTATAAATAAATTAGCTTTCAGACCTTATTAAGTAAACCCTCCCAAATTTGGGCATAAAATGGACCAGATCAAATGGTACAGAGCAGCTCTGAGAAAAGTACCTGTAATAAGAAAGTTGCCATGTTCCTCCAAAGGCTCACTGTATTTTCGAACCACATGATTTAAACCAAGGTCTAATTCATAGAAAGTAAGCGTCTGTTGGGTATTTGCTGCAGCTTCCCCTGTTGGATCATTGTCTGCTTCCTAGAGAGGAGTACAATGGCAAAGACTAATCAGTACCATAAAATCAAACCTTCAGAGCTAGAAAGGACATAAGGATTCTTCCACTCTACAAGCAAGGAAGCAGAGGTCCACAGATGCCAAATGGTTTGCCAAAGTCTACACTACTAGGTAATGGTAAAGCTGGAACAAGAACCCAGATCTCCTAATTATGGGACCAAGGTTCTCTCATCTAGAGGATACTCATTCAAGGAAAAGAATAGTAGGCTCTACCTTTCACTATCTCCCTGTGGGGGGAAAAAAATCCCAAATACAGTTCCACCTCCTTTTTCAGGCAGTTTTTCTCAATCAATACCCTTTTTCCACAGGGAGATTAAGAGCATAGTCAGGTCAGCTCTGAAGCATTCCAAATTCCAGTAAGACACTTGGAATATGGAAAAGATTTGTTAGCAGCATAGATATAAGAATCAAACAATGAAGAAAATAACCTTAGGGAAGCTCTGAGGTAACTGGGGGGGAGAGGGGGCGCACGCGCGCGCGCGCACACACACACACACACACAAAATCTCCATTACCTCATAATCCATTTCCAGACAAGCAAACATTGGATTTTCAAATCCTACATCTACTCCAACCACATGATATACTAAAGTGTTCGCTTTGTGGGCCTCCAGTGGAGATGAGATGGTAAGCCGGGCTGCAGCATCTCTGTTTAAGATATACACCAATTTCTGTTTTTCAATGGCACCTGTAGTTGAAAGGGACAAAACACACAAGATTTCCAGATAATGAATAAAGAACAGCTAGATTCTCATCACAATTATTTTTAAAAAATCTTTAACAGCCAGCCCAAACTCTGCAAATATACTAACTTAAGATTTGGGGCTTTTTTTTAATCCTCACAAGGACATTTTCCATTTTTTGTTCAGGTGGGGGTCGGGGAAGAGGGGGGGAGGGGGAGAGAGAGAAACATCAACGTGAAAGGGACACATCGACTGGCTGCCACCCGCATGACCAACCAGGGCCGGGGACAAACTGCAATCGAGGTACATGCCCTTAGCGGAAACTGAACCTGGGTCTCTCTGGACCGCAGGCCAACGCTCTAACTGCTGAGCCAAACCAGCCAGGGCAAGATTTGCTTTCTATCATTAAAATAGAAAACAGCATCACTTTACCTACCTTCTTCCTAATAGGATCATAATGCCCCAATAACTCTTCAAAATTTTGTAGTGCATTCTAGATTTAATATATTGGGAAACTAAACAAGAACTCATAAAATTGCCAGCTTTCTTCTTTTAGTTAGAGCTAGTGATTTCCATGACTAGTCAGAAAGGGTTGCCCTCTAGAGGCCTGATCAGATACACAGAATTTCTTCAAGAGATTGTCAGAGAAGAGACATGAATGTGAATCATCACTTCAGGCTAGAGCAATCATACTGTCTAAAAACATTAAATCACTTTAGTCTTTTTGCTACAAATAAAGCAAGAAATAGAAAAACACCTATTTCCAACTAGACAGGAAGTAGACGAGGTATGTTAAGACATTCACCAATGTCTTAAAAGGATAAGCAACTTTATGAAGTTAATCCACATTTACCCAGTTATGATTTATTAGCACACTGCCCAGATCATAGCATTGTTATCCTAAACTGAGCATCTATAATATTAAGAGATACACTCAACAGAGCAAGTCACTCACTAATCATAACAGCTCGCCCTTTGGGGTCCACAGCTAAGAACTGGCCAGGAACAATACGGCGGCATCCACTCTTGCCAAAGGTTTCTTGGTGAATTTTCTCAAACATATTCTTAGACGGCTGGTATTCCAGGATAACAATCCGACCTGAATCACTACCAACCACAATGTAGTCTTTGGTGCCACCTGTCAGCCTAAAGGCCATGAGTGACCGAATAACACCAAATACTTCCACAGTTAGTAGGGTGTGTACTTTGCCAGTGTTGGGATCCGGGCGAAGCAGCTCCAAGATCTTCCCACGAGAAACAACAATTTCCTGTTGTTTGGTTCCTAGATTGCCAAAAAATAAAGATCATGAAAAATTAGAACTACTCCAAAAAGTAACCTGGATGAGTCATAATACCACTAAAGACAGATATAATTAAATGAATTGGGAGCTCAGTATTTAAGGTTATTCTTTTTGTTTGTTTGTTTGTTTGATCTTCACCTGAGAACATTTTCCATGGTTTTTTTGTTGGTTGTTTGTTTTTTTGTTCAGATAGAGTGGGAGGGAGAGAAAGGAAGAGAGAGAGAAAAACATCGACGTGAAAGAGACATATCAAGTGGTGGCCACCCGCACAACCCAACCAGGGCCGGGGACAAACTGCAACTGAGGTACATGCCCTTAGTGGAAACCAAACCTGGGTCTCTCTGGACCGCAGGCCGACACTCTAACAGCTGAGCCAAACCGGCTAGGGCTAAAGTTAATTTATTCTATATGAACTGAAATGATGCAATAAAAATGGTACCAAGTTTTTTTAAATGGTTAAACAAGTTACTTTCTTAGAAACTTCTTTTCATTTTTCTAACAATCTGCTAATTGAACAATGTTCATAAATGGTATTAATGTTTGCTTAGCATCTTAGGATTAAAAATTCCCAAAGGCTCTTTCTAGTCCATCTTTAAGGATATTGTTCTAAGAAATCATATTAACATTTTGTGCAGTTTGATGCAGTATCTCAAGAGAACTTTTAAAGCTGTCATCTAAAATATACTGTTGCCCTGGCCGATTTGGCTCAACGGTTAGAGCACCAGCCGGAGGACCCAAGGATTTCGGGTTCAATTCTGGTCAAGAGCATGTACCTGGGTTGCAGGTTCAATACCTGGTCAGGGCCCTGCAGGAGGCAACCAACCAAAGTGCTTCTCTCACATCGATGTTTCTTTCTCTCTCTTTCTCTCTCTCTCCCTCCCTTCCACTCTCTCTAAAAATGAATGGAAAAATATCCTCAGGTGAGGATTTATAAAAATAAGAGTAATAATAAAATAAAATGAAATATATGTTTATTTCTAAACTCACACCTAAAAAGTTCATTTGCTTTCATAACTGAAATCAATACCTCTAAATGAGTAAGAGTCATCATAATTCCACCTGGATGAGTCGTCATCATCTTTAAACTGTTTAGAATAATTAAGCTCCTCCTTGCCCGAACTCCCTCTCTGGTCTCAACTAACCTGCTATCAATATTACTATCATGTCCGGCTGGTGTGGCTCAGTGGTTGAGCACTGACCCATGCATCAAGAGGTCGCTGGTTCGATTCCTGGCCAGGATAAATGCCCAGATTGTGGGCCTGACTCCCAGTGGGGGACATGCCGGAAGCAGCCAATCGATGTTTCTCTCTCTATCTCCCTTTCACTTCCTCTCTCTCTAAAATCAATAAAGGAAAAGAAAAAAAAATTTTTTTTTAAATTACTATCATTTTCTCTGCCACCTAGGTTGGAAACTCATATCTTCACTTTCTATCCCTACAGTCAGGATCTTAGCTTTCTTTTTTGTTTTTTAATCCTTACCTAAAGACTTTTTTGCACACCGGCCGGGCCCTATCCTATTTTTTATTTATTTTTTATCCTCACTTGAGGACATTTATCTATTTTTTGTTCAGATTGAGTGCGAGGAAGAGAGAGGAGAGAGAGAGAGAGAGAGACATCGATGCGAAAGGGACACATCGTGTGGTTGCCACCCGCATGACCAAACCAGAACCGGGGACAAATTGCAACCGAGCACGTGCCCCTAGCGGGAACCAAACCAGAGTCTCTCTGGACCACAGGCCGACGCTCTAACTGCTGAGCCAAATCAGCCAGGTCTATCCTATCTTATATCCCACTTCCACCCATCCCAATCCATTCTCATTTGCTCAATGCCCCATTTATCAGGCCAACTTATTTGCCAAAGGTCATTTGGATATCAGATAAAATCAAGTACTCCAAAGTGCTTTGGAAAGTATAAAGAAGTATGGAAATTAGTGTTCTTAATGATTAAAAATTTTCCTATAATCTTCAAATTTTTGAATTTGAAAAATACGAAGCATAAAACTAGTAATATCAAAAATGTTATATTCAGAAAGATAGTAACTGGACAACTTACCTGAGAAGTTGCCATGAATGGCAAAGCTGATACCAGTGGCTCGCTGTAAGGTCAAGTTGTACAGGAACATGGTGACAACACCAATGAGCCACCCACCACTCCACAATCCAAGTGTTGATTACACCGCGTCAAAGCAAGCTAAGAGCACATAAAAGTAGAAAATATAAACTGGGAAACTGTTGTTTTACAGACATTTCTATACAGGAACTTTTGGCTGAAGGCAGCAGAAACAGTAGAGTAAGGACTATGGAAAACAACATATTCATAATTAGAGTGCCTTCTATACACCAGTCACTCTCTACACTTTGCCTCTAATCTCACGAGAAACCTATAAAGTACTTAATATTTAAACTAATTTTTTTTTTTTTAATCCTCACCTGAGGACATTTTTCTATTTTTTGTTCAGGTAGAGTGGGAGGGGGAGAGAGGAAGAGAGAGAGAAACATCGATGTGAAAGGGACACATCGAGTGGCTGCCACCCGCACGACCAACCAGGGCCGGGGACAAACTGCAACCGAGGTACATGCCCTTAGCGGGAACCGAACCCGGGTCTCTCGGGACCGCAGGCCAACGCTCTAACCGCTGAGCCAAACCGGCCAGGGCTATTTAAACTAATTTTATAGACAAGGAAATTAAGGCTAAGAAATTAAATTACATGCCTGAGGTCACGTAAGTGGTAAAAATGTTGGGAGCTAGGATCTGGCCCATCAGTGCTACACTGTGTATTTGCAAGCTTTTTTTTGGTCACAGAAACCGAGTAGGTCTACTTTTATTCATATTTGAACAGGCTATATGTTCATAAGATTCAGAACTCAAAAGCACAGCAAAAAGCCCTCCACCCACCCATTCCATAGCCATCTAGCTCTCCTCCCTGGGTGAAATTAATTTTATCACGTTATATCTAGCCTGTTTGATATTTTCTGTATGGAAAAGCAAAAATATACTATATTTTATCTCCTTTTTTAAAAGTAAAGGTTGGGTATTATATATTGTACGCTCACATTATATTGCAACTTATTTTTGTTTTATCTATCTTGGAAATAGTAATAAATGGCTTGCTCATTTTTATTTTACAGCTGCAGAGTAATCTGCTGATGGGTATATTAGAATTAATTTAGGCAATAACCCGCTGATGAACATTTAGGTTGTTCCCAATCTTGTTATTATGTATGCCACTCCAAAGAAAATCACCCATAAATAGGTCATTTATACTTATGTGAATACATCTCTACCATTAATTCATAACCGTGAAATTGCTGGATCAAGGGACTCATATAACTGAAATTTTGATAAATAGTGCCAAATTACCTTTTTTAAAAATCCTCGCCCAAGATATTTTTCTATTTTTCTTCAGGTAGAGAGAGAGAGAGAGAGAGAGAGAGAGAGAGAGAGAGAAACATCGACGTGAGAGGGACACATCGACTGGTTGCTCACCCCCAGCACGACCCCGATCAGGGCCCCGGACGAACCGCAACCAAGGATCATGCCCTTGGCTAGAATCGAACCTGGGACTTATTGGTCCAAGGGCCGCTGCTCTAGCACTGAGCCAAACCAGCCAGGGCATGCCAAATTATCTTTTAAAGAAACTCATCAATTTACATCTCCAACAATGTATATGAGTTTCTATATAAATACAACCCGACTTCTGCTCATCTAACATAAAAATTGCTAACTTAGTGTTCTCACTTGTATCTCTTTTATAGCTCTATATTTGATTAGAATTTCAAATTTAAACCTACTCACCATCAAAAAATTTTTTAAAAATGAATTTCTGCTACTTCAGAAGGCCTCCCTAAAGGAGTAGTCATGAAAAAGGGTTATCATACAGGACTTAAGACTGCAAACGTATGTACCTCTACCATATAAGAATTACCCAAAATTTTGTAACTGATGCCAAAACTACACCTATACATAATTACTGCTGGAAAATAAACTGGGTTATTTTGCCTCAATTATTTAGAAACAAAACCAGGGGAACTTGAGAAATCCAGGTAATCACTGTGTAACTAACATGCAAATTTTAAGTGAGAAAGGGTAAACATATTTATGTGTAATCATTTCTGGGTAGGGTGACTAAGACAAAAAAGATCAATCCTCCACAATGGAAATGAATATAAATGTTCCTACTTGAAACTAAGGAACATTTTTAATGTTCTTCTAGAATCACAGGGCAAAGAATAAAAGGTCTGAGGTGAAACAAAAAGGGAATTGGGGAAATGACCTGAAAGAAAGAGGAAAACACAAGGCCAAAGACGTGTGTCTAAACACAGAAGGGTTTAGACATCTGGCAAGGTCCAGGGAAAGCCGTGCTCAGCTTAAAATCTGAAAGCCTTTAAGCAGAGAATGCGTTGTAATTGCTCTCAACTGAAAAGTAGCTATCGTAATTTCTAAACACTTTAGTATCTGTACTCTCTGGCATCTTCCTCTAGTTATAAAATTTCAAACATAATTTCTAAGTTGCAGGTATCAATGACAAAATTCACAATGAAATCCCTATCATGTTGTTAATGTGATCCATGTTGTAGCATAAATTATATTAAAGGTTAAAAAAAACTGTTGTTTTTAAAAGGCAGAGGAAACCACTGGCCACTTTTGGACCCCCCCCAAAAGCTCTCTCCAAGCTGCTTTTCATTCTTTATAGCTAAAGAACTCCGCTTACTTTCAAGTTCCTTTAGAACTGATGCCATCCATTCCCATCCTTGGAATTCATTTTCCCCAAACGTAGTTGACTCCAGGTTCCCCACCAGTTCTTTTATATTGGGAAATGGAGTAAAGAGCATTTCGTAAGATCAGCCTAAAACTAGAACTATGCACCAGGAACCATCACGGGCCAATACGGTAAATTCTGTGACTTCCGCCTCTTCTCTCTCCTGTCTGAGATGACTAGAAAATTAGCCCGCGATTGCTCACTCCATCCCTTTTCATGTGCCAAATGAACATCATCGCACTTAAACTCTGCAAAATCTTCTAGATGGATATCATTGCCCATTTTGCAAACAATAAAACTGAGGATCAGAGAAGGAAACAAGTTGACCAAGAACCAAAATGCAAATTTAAAACAAGGTCTTAGCTCCTAAGGCTGTTTCTGTTATTTACGCTTTTAACACGCTAGGTTTTCTCACCTTCGCGTTAGTGTGTTGTTTACCGTCTCCAGGAAACTTACCTCCCGCCCTTTCTCACATCTCCCCCAAATCCAAAGAGGCCTCAGGGCCTAAAATCTAGGCAATTCCCTTGTAGACAGAAACGGAATAATTCCTGGTAGCCGTTTTCACGCCCCGAGCGTTCCCATCGACCTCCTCGCTTCTTGCCCGAGTCCCTTCTGGCCTAGGCTACACCTCAGGGATCCCCTACCAAAAACCCGGTGCACACTCCTATATAGCCGCTCCACGCCTCTGTAAACCAGGGTAAATCGGGGGCCGCTTCTTTACCCTGCAGCCGGGAAGATGGTGTAGATATCCAACGGATGCAGCGTTCCTTCAAGGCCTAAGCCACCGCCAACGACAGGCATCCGGCATCCGCCATTAGCCCTTAAGATAAGGACCTTCGGTTGGCGCGCGGTAAAAAAAGGCCCCAACCGGCGCCTAAAGGATGTATATATAATTTTTTTAATGCATAGGTCTTGCAGCCACCCTCCATTGATAGTTATTTAAACACACCTCATGACCGCCACTTTTTCAGAGGAATATAAAATGAATAGACTTTTAAAAGTAGACATTTAAAAGATAAATTCACCAGGCACTTCCGTGGGCAGCCTCGAACATCAGCGCGTCGACGCGGAGGGGGGCCTCGCGGGCCGGAAACACGGAATGGGAACAAAGATGGCGGACCTCAACTCCCCTCAGAAGCTGTTACGGGTGCCTCCGCCGCCTGAGGGAGTGGGAGGAGGCCGTTGCTCCGAAATCTCCACGGAGCTCATTCGCTCTCTGACAGAGCTGCAGGAGCTGGAGGCTGTGTACGAACGGCTCTGCGGCGAGGAGGTGGGAGGGCTGAGCCTTTTGCCAGGAGCATCCGGGGTAGTGGGCGTAGGAGCCGTCAATCGGGAAATCTGGGCTGTGGGAAGCTCTCCCCCTTTTCGAGGGAAACCAAAAAGCATCTACTCGCGAAGTAGCAGTGTAGTTGGGGAGTGTAGTTGATTGTGGTTCTTGGGACCTGCCGTCTCTCTTCACTCAATCTGATGGCCCTGCTTGTTTTCCCAGTTTTCTGGGCGATCCGCCCCTACCCTCACTTATTTCTGTTTGAGACTGTCTTCCGCTCTCCGCGGAAGTCAAGTTAGGTGGAGAGTATATGCCAACTCGCCTTGTTCTCAGAATAGGAATAAAGGCTCTCTTGCATTGGCTTGACAGTTTAAAAACTATGAAATGCTTTCACCCCGTTATCTCGTTTAAGCCTGCAGTCATTGCAAATAAAGGAGGAGCGTTTTAAAACTTCCTCTTGTAGGGAATTATTTGGGCGTGTGATTCTAGCGTTTCGGTAAAATGCAGAGCTTTATAGAAGCCTGAGGTTTTTAAGACTCAGTAACAACTGCCTAATCTTGGACAAGTCACTTCTTTTCCTGTATCCCTGACACTGTGCCAGGTGAGGAGGCGTGGACTCTATTCTCGAAAGGCTTCCTTTCAGCTCATAATCTTATCTCCTTTCTGCCTCCTTCACTTTCTGTGGCAACCTAATGCTGCCAATACATGTTTGAATGTCAGTTGGGTTCCTTGCCAAAGGAAAGAGATCTAAGCCCTGATCTAAAAGTTTAGTAGCTGTGCCCCAAAAACAAACATTTAAATAAGGTTGAGCACAAAATATTCAAAACATCTTTGAATATTTTCAAGTATTAACTTGTACTAGCTCTAGCAATTTCTGATACGTTTTTCAGCAAGCTGTGGTTTATAAAATACAGTACCCTTGCCTTAACATTCCTAAGCTTGCATTGTTGAGTCAGTCAATACTTTGGGGGTAAATTAAGTCAATCTTACAGACAGAAAATTATTAGTTCTGTATTTGTATTTGATGAAGGTGAAGTTCCCATCTGTATCCTACTGGACTATTTTAACAAATGTGCAGCTGATATTAATAGCTGTTATTGAACCATAAGCCGCCAATTATGTTAAGCACTTTATGTTTGTTATCTTGTTTGGCTCACACAATAGTCCCATTGGGTATGTATTACTATCCCTATTTTACAGACGAAGAAACTCAAGCATAAGAAGGTTACATTAATTGAGAGAGACTTATACACTGTGAAGAGATTTTTTTTGTAATTGCCATTATATTTAGCCATCATATATATATATATATATATATACACACACATATATATATAGTTAATCCTCAGTCGAGGATATTTTTCCAATTAATTTTTAGAGAGTGGGCATGGGGTAAAGGAGAGAGAGACATCCATATGAGAGAGACACATTGATTGGTTGCCTCTTTCATATACAAACCTAGAACCCAGGTACGTGCCCTTGACTGAAAGTGAACCAGAGTGGAGACCCTTCAGTCCACAGGCCAGTGCTATAACCACACAGCCAAACCAGCCAGGACTGTTTAGCCATTATATTTTAAAAACATTCCTGTGTTAGGCACTATGAATAAAGGTTTATTATCCCCCTTTGTGGTGCTCATCTGTTAGGTGAAATAAGATTTACATGATAATCATTATGCAGTGTGATAAGTGCAAAAATTAAGTTTTGTTTGTTAATGTCATAAGGGAACTTAGTGGAAGGAAAGAAAGCATTTGAAATGGCATTCACTCTTTAGCTAAGTGGTTGGGTTAGAAAACTTAGGGTTCCTTCTGACCATTCTGATGACAGGATGTTTCTGTGTGTTTTAGAAAGTGGTGGAAAGAGAGCTGGATGCTCTTTTGGAACAGCAAAACACTATTGAGAGTAAAATGATCACTCTCCATCGAATGGGGTGAGTCTGTTCATCTCAGCAAGAGCTACTGTACAACAGGGTCCACTGGATAAGTTATTTTTCCTAACTTTCTGTTATAAAATGCCAGTTGAGTATGAAACGTAGAGGACCATTACTTCAAGGTAAAGTGAACACCGAAGGTACAGTTAAGTGGTTTTCAAAGTGTTCTTGACCAGCAGTACCAACATTGCTTGGAAAATTGTTGGAAATACACATTGTAGGGCCCCACCCCAAACCTTCTGAATCAGAAACTATGGGGATGGAGCTAAGAAACCTGTATTTTAACAGGCATACCAAGAGGCCCTGGGGCGTGGCTCAAGTTTGAGAACCACTGTTTTTACAAATTTTGTGTATTTGTTAGTCATAAAATTGCTCTTTGATCTCATCATCCTCTCAGATTGTAGGTTAGTGCATTTTATGCTCACTTAACAATTGGGAGAATCTGTGCTCTAATTCTTAGGCAGTACCTATTTAGTAGTTACAAAAATTGATTTTTCATTAAGTATAGGCCTGAGTTTACAGTAAAACACTCTTGGAAAAAAAGTTGTTAATAGAGTAATTTAAACTAAGAATTTGGGGGAGGTGCAAAAGAAGTAGAAGATACAGTCTCCATCTGCAAAAACATTTTTTCCATCTCTTACTGCTACCCTCTGCCTTTATGGATAAATGTGTGCTGACAATATGTATCTCCAGTCCCAACCTGCAGTTGATTGAAGGTGATGCAAAGCAGCTAGCTGGAATGATCACCTTTACCTGCAACCTAGCTGAGAATGTGTCCAGCAAAGTTCGTCAGCTTGACCTGGCCAAGGTAATCCCATTATGGTGTTGATGTTTGTGTTAGTAGAGGGTAGTAGAAAAGCCACAGCACTAGAAATTAGAGCAACACCATCCAATAGAAAGCTAACGTAAGATACCAAAACCAGACAAAAATATAAGAAAATTCCAGACCAATTACTCTTATGAATATAGACATAGAAATTCTCACCAACACTAGCAAACCAAATCCAACAGCATATAAAAAGGACTATACTATGAGCAAGTGGGATTTATCCCAGGAATGCAGAGTTGATTTCACATATGAAAATTAATGTAATACACCATATCAATAGAATAAAAGACAAAAACCACATGATCATCTCACAGACTTAAAAAAAGTGTTTTTATAAAATTTAACACCCCTTATAAAAACACTCAACAAACTAGGAATAGAAAGGAACTTCCTCAACCTGATAAAGGGCATCTTTGAAAAATCCACAGATCAAGTCATACTTATTGCTAAAAGACTGGTTGCTTTCCCCGAGGTTAGGAACAAAACAAGGATGTCAGCTCTTGCTACTCTTTACCATCATACTAGAGGTTCTAGCCAGGGCATTTAGGCAAGAAAATGAAATAAATGATTCAGATTGGAAAATATTTAATACCAATCACATATGTACTTTTAAATGTTCTATTAGCCACTTTTTTTTTAAATCTTTTTTTCTTTATTGATTTTTAGAGAGGAAGGGAGAGAGGGAGAGAGAGAGAAACATCGATTAGCCACCTCCTGCTTGCTCCACACTGGGGAACGGGCCCACAACCTGGGCATGTGCCCTGACTGGACATCAAACTGGCGACCTCTTGGTGCATGGGTCAATGCTCAACCACTGAGCCACACTGGCTGGGCTATAATAGCCACTTTTTAAAAAGTAAAACAGGCCCTGGCCGGTTTGGCTCAGCGGTTAGAGCGTCCGCCTGCGGTCCGGAGAGACCTGGGTTCGGTTCCCGCTAAGGGCATGTACCTCGGTTGCAGTTTGTCCCCGGCCCTGGTTGGTCGTGTGGGTGGCAGCCATTTGATGTGTCCCTTTCACATCGATGTTTCCCTCTCTCTCTCTTCCTCTCTCTCCCTCCCACTCTGTACAAAAAAAATGGAAAAATGTCCTCGGATGAGGATTAAAAAATAAATAAATAAATAAATAAAAAGTAAAACAGAAATAGGTGAAAATAATTTTTAACATATTTTTAACTCATTATACCCCAGATACCAGTTAAATGTGTAATTACTATAAAATCGTATTAATGAGATATTTTATCTTCATTTTTGTACTAACTCTTTTGTACTTAATGTAGTTTATACATGCAGACCTTAATTTGGACTAGCCACATTTCATGTTCTCAGTAGCCACATATGGTTAGTGGCTGCTGTGTTGAACAGCATAGCATAGAGTCTGCGTTCTTGAACAAGTCAATCCCAGCCTTGGTTTACCCTGTGAAATAGCATAACTTTTCCTGATCTATTTGTTCAAATTATGCAAAAATAACTTACCATAAAACTAAGCCACACAGCCACCAACTCACATGTTAAAGGTTATTTTTAAACATTCTTAATCTAAAAGAAAAATACTTTCCATATATTTTATTTACTTTATAACTTGGTTTATAGCATCACATTTCCAAAATGTCAAATACATTCTGATTCTATTATAAATTTAACTATGTAAACCAAATGTAAATATGGATTATCGCCCTGGCTGGGGAGCTCAGTTGGTTAGGGTCTTGTGCCAATACACCAAGGTTGCAGGTTTGATCCCCAATCAGGGCACAAACAAGAATTAACCAATGAATGCATAAATAAGTGAAACAACAAATCAATA